AAATTATACCAATAACAATAGATATTAGTAAAAATATTAAACTTCAATCTCAAAATTTCAACAATCCATACAAATCTATCTACCAGTAATCCAAAAAAAATATAAAACGAAAAACTCCATTAACGTTGTAAAACTGATAACGTGGATGGCCTCACGTCATCATCGTCTCCTTCAGTCCTCACTTTATTCGATGAGTTTACATCCCATGATTACTAACGCACAATTAGAAAGCTTTTATGCAAGAGACTAACGTTTTTCTTCCAGACATAGAATAGATATTGTATTTCAACTCTAGCTAAAAAGATTTTAGAAAGAAAAAAAAAAAGCCTTGAGCTAAAAAAATAGAACTGTGTATATAAACTACAAAGTCAAAAGTCAGATGGGTCTATCAGTCGAGATTGATAGTTTTTCTATTCCCAAACAAATTGTTAATGATTTTTATTTTTTCTTTATGTTTTCTTGTATAATAAAAATTGTTAGGAAGGAAGTCCCCATTCACTTGGGTTGATCATTGGCCGTTAACTCATTTTTTCTTGCAATTTAAGTAACAAAACTTCCGTCATGACACAAAAAAGGAAAAAGAAAAAAGATTTTCTCAATAAACAACTTTGAAAGATTTTCTCAGTAAACAACTTTGGAATCTTGCACACTAACAGATTTTTTGAGTATCAATTCACGAGCAAAATCTGGGAAAGTTAACAAGAATCGGATTCTACTAAAATTTTGATTGGATGTTAATTAAAGAAAGTAATAGAAAGTAAAAATTTTGATTTTTAAATGGATATTTTAATGATCCTAAGGGTTATTAAGTCATTGCACCATGGATACACAAAACCCTATCTCCAATTCTATTATATATAAAATCTAAAATTTGTATTGGTTATTTGTGATGAAAAAAAAATGTCTAGCATCATGGGAATTTAGAAAGACTTTTGAGAGAGCAAAAGAAAATAATCAATGAAAAGGTTAATGTTCTTCTCATTCTCAGTATATATGTGTTCTTTTTTTCTTTTCCTTTTAGTCAATGGATCATTAGTCACTATCTTGATCTTTTGTGGGGGGAGAGGGAGTACAATTCATGCTCAATCAAACTTTGTTTAGTTAACACACAAACACATTCATTCAGTTTTAATTGCATATCAGTAATAGTAGTACAAACCAAAAGGATGTTTGTATACTTATAGTTTATAAGTGCTAAAGTGTTCTTTAAACCAATTAAAGTATCTAAATATAAATATATATTTTTGAAGTTTAAAAATTTAAACAGATTTGGAATGATATGTGTTTTTCATATTTTTCTATTCTATTTTTCTTTCTTCATTCATAAATTTAAACTGCAAAACCCAATTTACAATTTAGATTGATCAGTTTATATCAAAGAATATGTCTTCGTATTTTATATGGTGGAATTTTTAATATAGAAAAGACAATTTTTTTAACTATTTATGATATTTATTAATTTTACAAACTTTTATGTTTTTTTAAATTTGATTTATTATTTTATCAAATTATGAGAACTATGTATGATTTTATAAGAGACAAAACTATTTTGATATAAATATTTGTGACTAACAATTATATTTGCCACTAACACGCTTTTATCTACACCACTTTTAAATTATATTTAACTCATTAATCTGATTTCAAGATTTTGAAAAGTAATTTCACAATATACAAAATTTTTATTAAAAATAAAATAAAATAAAAAGACATGACTAATTTATTAGATAAATAGATTTTTCAATAAAATTTTTATAAATTTAAAACGTGTGAAGTGAATTGAAAAATAGTATGTTAAATTTTATCTTTTATTATTCAATATTAATTATTATGAATAATATGTATTTAGTAAAATCACAATAAAAAAAATTACCTCATTCAATTTTTATATAGTTTTTCAGCATTTTACAATTATTATACAAATTTTTAATTAGATTAATTTTATTCAGTTTAAAATTATTAAATTATTCGACTATCGTGCTATTAGTTAACTTATGCCAATCAAAATTTTTTTGTTGCAATCGTAGATTTGTTTTTCAAAGGTTCAAAAAGTAACATACTAACATGATTGTAGGTCCAAGATACTGAAATCTCCCATTACCGCCCATCTTAATTAAACAAATACATGCTATTTGTCGATTCTTGCTTTTTCATCCTATAGTGTTCAAGTCTCTCTCACTAGCTTTCGTGTAATAATCCAGTGTTAATATTTCTTTCGTTAACCTCTGCGAATTCACACTTTACGAGACGCGTAATGTGATTCATGTTAATCATCATCTTTTTGAAACCAATTAGAGAATATTACTGCTTTCTGGATATTAAACATATTACTTCAATTTTTAGACACTTTTCTTTTAAAACAAGTCAATATCTTATCCCCAAAAGATTACCCTTTTTATATAAACTAACGATGTCTCTTCGATTACAGAATTCTGAGAGTTCTACACAGCACTATTGGTAACACGGAAGAAACATCGCACTCCCCCCAAAAAGTAGACTTAAACTATTGAATTCGTTGTCTCGTCTCTTCTGATATCGCCTCAAGTTCTATAAGAGCTTGCTCGATCGCATAGATCACCATCTTCTTTATCTTTACACAATAAAACAAAAAAATTGATATAAAATGGTTAGCCCAGTGAATAAATATAAAATGAGTAGAATGGAATGCTTAAAATACTTCATCCTTCATCATACATACGTATATCAAGAAACTTTGCGGAATATTATTATCATATCAAGAAACCATTTTGAAAAGATTATGTTTCTGTATCATTAAATATAATTAAAAAAAAAAGAGAGGTTAACCAGAAAATATAATATTTATTGTTGACTATTATAATTTTGGTCGTGGCACTGTTAGTAGAAGACAGATGGAGACATTTGTTAGAGCATTAGCAACGGTAGAGATCATACCAGTCTCTTTTTAAAAATATTTTAATAATATAATTAACTTTTACAATTAAATTAAAAAAATTAAAAGAACAAACCAATTATTGCTTGCCATTTCTATAGAGACGACTTCTCAAAACTTCTATATCAGAATCGCCTCTCATTCTTTTTTCATCTTTTTTCTTTTTTTTATAATATTTTATTATTTAAAATGTTTGTTAAATCTCCCCGTTGGAGATAGTCTTATGGTTTCAACCATCAGTCCGCATATAAAGTTTAAACAAGTGTCCGTTACAAGTGGTTTGCGCTAATGTGGCGTTATCATTCAATTTCAAACCCAATTGTGATGGCTCTGCCCAAATCTACTCCACAGAACCAACCTCACATGCTGAAGACGTTCCACAATGACAATATTTGTGGTAAAGTTGTTAGATTGTCGATCAAGAGTTTGTATTTTTTGCCTAATTTGTATGATTTCATCTGATAATTAAGTTCGAATTTCGATTCGGCTTTTAATAAATTTTATATAGGCAATCCACGACCATTTTGTTAAAGTCTCAAGGAGATGCATCTCCATAGACTGAAAACCTGCCGGTTGAGCATTCCACCCACGTATTCCTCTATTATATTGTACCTTCAAATTTTGACTAAATTTTTTCGAAAAAGATCACTCACCAAACTCGTTTCCAAATTAGTGACGATTTTAAATAAGAACCCATCTATAGATTCATCACACTTATTCTTCCTTCTTTCGATTACTGCCTCCAACTCGCCTCCAAATCATTGATGATTCTAAATAAGAACCCATATTCATCACATTTGGTCCTTTCTTCGATTATCGTGCCCAAAAAATAATGTACAACCATCTTCAAACGATCTTCGCAAACTTTTATTATCAATAGCTTCTTTTTCACATCTAACATAATTATCGTCTTTTTATTCTTAAAAAACTTTTTCTAAAAAGATTTCTTCCCAAATTCTCACAATTCTTCGAAACTAGATAAATCTGCCCCAATTGTATCATCCAAGATCTAAGATCGCACAACCAAATATTTCTAGCAACTGGTCAAAATCGCATTCATGTGTAAACATGTACTTGAATTCGGGGTATCTTGTATCATTCAAGATCTATGATCATTAGACCAAATATCTTCTGATACAATGTTTGGCATTCATGTACTTGAATTTGGGGTATCTTGTATCATTCAAGATCTATGATCATCAGACCAAATATCTTTTGATACAATGTTTGGCATTCAAAAACATCTAAGATTATTATTTTTAATTTGGTAAATCCCAAAGTTAATTAGATATAAGGACCACCCAAGTATATAGACGTGGTACACTTCAAAAAAAACAAAAAAAAAAACAAACATACATAAAACATCAAATGGAGATGACAATGCCTAATCTAGTTAATCAATAGTGATGTTGAGGCTCTTGCACTATCACATATTGTTGTAATCCTTGGCACGTGAGAAGAAATAGGATTCGCCCACCCCGTTAATATGCTCCATCTTTGGCCACCAAAGTTGATGGTATGATCCAGCAGATCTTAATAAGATCATACCACCACTGAGGTTGCCACAATTTGAGGAATTGGTAGTAACAAGAACTACTAATTCAAAGGATGCATTGGAAACTTTAGACAACAAAAAGACCACCAACTTTCTTGAGAATGACCACCAGCTTTCGCGCGAAATTACCACGCATTCAAACCAAGCTTGAATCTTTATTCAGCATAGTGACAAGGGTCTTCTGACAACCAAGACCCACATCTCATACGGCAAGGCAGACAATTTTTGCAATTTGATGTTTTGCATACAGACACGGGTTGCAGATGCAGCGAGGCAGACAATTTTTGCAATTTGATGTTTTGCATATATACAAGGGACTCGGGTTACAGAGATCTGCAACCCGAGTCCCTGGTGTTTTGTTGATATACAAATTCTACATGTCAAAATTAAGTGTTCGATTGACTAAAAACCGGGATTTGAAAGAAAAAAACATTTTTTATTTTTTAAATAAAATAGTTTTGTAAAATATAAATACCACACGCAAATTAAAAGATTTTTACAAAAGATTTTTTTTTAAATGTTATGTGTTGTGATCTACTGCAAGAGCAAACAATCAAAGCAGAAGCCTAAATAAGATTTGGTCATTCATTGTTCTGAATAAACCAATCAATAGTATTATTACCCTAAATGCTAGTAGGTAGAGAGGGAAAAAGTCAAAACCAAAAATAGAAAATAACGAAATATAATATAATAAAATAATACGTATGATATAGTAGTATTTAAAATCTATTTTTTTAAAAACAAAAACAAAATCAAAAACTGAGTTTAGGTCATTTTTAGAACCGTCCGATTCTAAAAAAATAAAATTTTAGTTCGAGTAAATCCGTCTGGTTTAGGTTTGGTTCAAATGCCCATCTCTTCTAATTGGTACCGGATATCCAAGATAAACCCGGATATCCAACTCAACCCCACCCGCATCAACCATACAGTATATGTAATAAGCTCACACATTAATCATGACACAACACACAAAAAAAAAAAAAAAAAAAAAAAAAAAAGATAAATAAGATGGGAAAGGAGACAAAAGACTTACCTCAAGTTTGTCCTCTCTGGCCCTGTGGTTCTTGGGAAGTTGGCGAAACTCTTCAGTCAAACGCAGACACTCATGTATGTTCTCTGGTGACACAAAGTCAACTGCCACTTTTGTGCAAGACTGTCCACGAATTATAAAAACAAATCAAAAAGACAAGTTCTCGTTAGATTCTCAACTACAAAGGAAACTGACCACGAATTATAAAAACAATTTTTTTGTTTACCTTTAGATTCCGAACTTGATGAGGACAACCCGCGGGAATAAACACAGCTTCTCCTAGCTTTTGCACAAACGTCCATGGTTCGATCCCTACAATTTTCACACAAAAACATTTAAGTTTCTCAATACAGAGTCGAAAAATAGCAAATAATACACATATGGTTTGGTTTGGTTCGGTTATATACCGAATTCCGCCTTGAGTTTTCTTTTATGCTCTACGGTTAAATAGCATGACTGGTCATGTATCGGATGATAAACCTGAGAGAGAAAGAAAACGTTGAATAAACGTCAGTACCCAGAAAGTAAATAAATTCTTCAAAAAGGTTGTTGTTGTTGCAGGTGACTAGGTGAGTGTTGTTTACCTTTGTGACTGGACAACAAAAAGTGTGTCGAAACTCTCTGCAATGCTTTCTTAGATACTCTTCTAACTTAGGAACATCCTCTCTTCTAAATATGTCCCAAAGAGCACTTCCCGTTTCGTCACGAGTCTGCTCGTTTTCACAGCTCAGAATCTCCGGCGTGTTCAGCTCTTCTTCCTCTTGGCTACAGCCAATATCGCCGCTATATTCATTCCCCTGTTCCTCTCGCTTGTTCTGTTCCTTGTGTTTCTGTTTCAGAACTTTGACTGCAGATAACTGTTCTTGGCTTAACGTTACTTCAGCTGTATGCGTCAGAATATTAACCGCGTCTGACATATCGCAGTGAAGCTTGGTCACGGAATCTCCTCTCCCTAGCTCATCTGAAATCCCATACGCAATGTAGGTCTTTGGACCCAAATCCGGTTTGATGAGTCCTTCAGGGAGCTTTGCTGCAATGTTGAGGATCCCCGTTCTAGGGTCGCTGTATTCTTGGAACGGTAACATGGATATGAACTCGTCGCAGTGACGAGGCAGAAGGTCTTCAAACTTATCAGAAGGAGGCCAGTCCTTGAGCTTCAACATCTCAGGCCAGAAGTTTTCATATGTTCTTCCTTTGCTATAACCTTCAAAGAAGTGACGAGTATTGATCTCCACCTCACAATTAGCTAAACAATCAATTGCTTTGACTTCAGACATCTTAGATGAATCCATATTCTCGCATAAAGCCCTCCACATCACCATCGGCTCCCAGCTCAAACCAGGTGTGTTAGCAAGAGCGTTCCTGACGATTACTGGTTCACCTTTTGACCAATGCTCTTGGAAATGTAGAAGCTCTTCTTCCTTCAAAACATCAAGTGATTCAGGACAGAAGAGGTAGTTGTCGCTTGAGGTTGTCCTCGAAGCTGCTTTCTTTGTCATATCCGTCTCCAAGGCAGAAGAACACCTACAGTTCAACGCTCTAGGGCTTTTCTCGTATGATGCCAAGAAAGTCTCTGCCTTTTGTTCCAAGTCTGACATCCACTTCTTTGGTAGGATCCGCTTAAGCTCCAAGATACCATCACCACAACCACCTAGCTCCTTTGGTGCGCAACTGATGCTTCCATTGAAGCCGGCTTTCCACTTAGCGGATGATGGGTTAGCTTCTTCGTCATCCTTAGAGACAGAAGAGAAGCTCGGTTCCATATCTAAACCATGCATATACTTGTATCCTTTATCAACATATTGTAACTTCACTTCAGGGCGTTCGAAAACAGATCCTTCCCGAATCTCTTGACAACAGTTCAAACAAAGCTCATAAGAGCAATTTGAGCAGCTTCGGTGCAAGTCAACAATTGAAGTTGCGCAATGGTCACTGCAACAGAGATGTTTTTCAGCAAGATCCTCTAAAACTAAGTTGAATTACAAAAAATATCAATGCAACACAAGTGTGCTTACCAGTATACACGTTCATCACTGAAGCTTTCTGCTCTAATTACGTCAACTTCAGAAAGGAGTTTTCCTACAGAAACAGGTCATACGTTAGCAGGAAATCACGTATAGTATATAGCAACAGAAGCCATGTCTAACTAGCTTGCAAGACTCATACCTTGAAACTTTGCCTCCATTTCAATCTCCTGAAACTGGGATTTGGATAACTTATTCAGAAACGGAAGCATCAATGCAATCAAGTACTGGAGATGATGGCGTCTTTCAGGATTCGCGAGTTCCCTATTCGAGGTCTGTTAAGAAAAAACCACATATACATAGTTAACAAAGAAACCATCTTAAGGTTCTCCCAAAAAACGAATGGATGATAGAAATTAGCTCCTACCTCGATTAGACCATTGAGATGCAAGCATCTGCTGCAATTACAGTTTTTGCGGCAGAAAGGACATTTATCAACGATATCAGCCTCAGATAGTTGCGGATACCTGCAAAAAAAAAACCACAAATAGATTAAGCATATCGAAATGTGTTTCTAATACAAGATAGAGAAATGTGATTACTGTTAAGACAGAAACTAACCATTTCCGAATACACTGAAGACAATACATTGTCTCTTCACATTCACTGCAAATGACAAGAGTGATCCTTTCCCGTTTCAAGCACTGATGGCAAATTGCTTGACGTTTCTTAGACTCCTACCAAGAAAAAAGTATTATTTTGGAAAAGATCAGTACAGTAACATGTTTATACTTCTTCGTTGATCGGATTTAAGAAGTACAAACACTTACCTTTGAAGTACTTTTAATGCTTGTGCAGTCATCAGAACTCCCAGTTTTCAGAAGAGAATCTGAGACTTGTGAAGTTGGCGAACGTGAGCTTGAGCGTGAGCGAGAACGACTAACATCTGTGACATTTTCTGGACTTTTGGAGCCTCCACTTGCAGCTGCACAAAGTAAATTTCGGCTCCTTCTTCGTGATGGTGTTGCCTTAGTCTTAAGTTCTTCTTCCCAATCCATATCTTCTTTAGGTTCTGCTTTGCGTCTGCTTTTCCTTTTACAAGCGACTTCAGAGGTCCCATTAGCTACTATCGCGCAATCATCATCCTTAGAATGTTCCACTTTCACATCAGATAGTGACTTCATCTTAGCTTTAACTTCAACTTCTTCTTCTCCCTTATCTTCTATCCTAGCAGCTGCACAGCCTAAACTTCGGCTCCTTCTTCGTGATGTTGCCTTAGTCTTGAGTTCTTCTTCCCAATCCATATCTTCTTCAACTTCTGCTTTGCCTCTGCCTTTCCTTTTACTAGCGACTTCAGAGATCCCATTAGCTACTATCGCGCAATCACCATGTTCCTCTTTCATCTCAGACACTAACTTCATCTTAGCTTCAACTTCTTGCTCATCTTCTCTCCTTTTCACAGTGTTCTTTCTCCGCATTTCACTGATATAGCTTCCCAAAACCAAATCATCGTCTTTTTCAGAACCCTGCTCCTTCTTATCAGATGTTACCGTAGGAACAGCTTCTTCAGCTTCATCAAAGCTTTCCACTTTGACGCATTCTCTCATCCTTTTAACCGCAGAGTCGTCGTTATCAGCTATCGACCGCTTCCGTTTCCGGTAAAAGACTTTCAAGATTACAGGCCGAGACCTCGTGACTCCCTTTTGTTCCTCTTCTCTAATGCTGAAACCTCTCGACTTAACTGGTTTCAGAGTTCTCTTCTTCTTATTCGACCAAGAACACTCCATCATCTGAATATCATGCTGGAGACTAACTCCACACGAAACTACTGCACAGTCCATCTTAGCTGCAACAACAAAAAAAGTTACATCTTTAATAAACTCTAGAAGAACATGAAATCTGTAAAAAAAAACACTTTATCAGGATTAATTAGTAGCTTAATTATGTAGCAAAATTAACCCAGAAAAAAATCGCCGAGTTTTCCCCCAAATTAGTATTCAAAACCCACAAATTGTGTTTGATTTTGAACCCAGAACAAACAATCGAGTTCTTCGTTCATAATCACAAAAGGAAATTCGATGGCAATAAAACAGAGAGATCTATCAGAAAAAAAAAAAGAAAAAAAAAAAAGTAACATCTTTCATAAAACTCGAACCATTGCAAAAAGAATATGAGACCTGGAAAATACATTTATCAGCATTAATTAGTAGCTTAACAAAGATATTATGTACCAAAATTAACCCAGAAAAGTCGCCATTGGAGAAGAACATAAAACGAATGGCGATTTCCATCGTAAACGAAACGAGATTTCCCCAAATTAGTTTTTAAAAAGCACACGGATTGAGTTTGATTTTGAGCCCAGAACAGAGAGATCTAATCGGCTCAAATCAAACCAGCTTAAAATCCATAACGACGATGTTGAAACCAATCGAATCGAAGGTACAACGAAACAAATACGTAACAACAACTCCTCGAAACTGAATCAAACAAAGTAAAAAGACGAGAATCTGGAATCGGAAAGAGAAACGAAACAAATTTTACCTCTCGATGAACACCAAAAACCAGTTCGAAGCGACGATGATTCTTCTGGGAAAACGATGAACCCTAAGATTTCGGCTGGAAAATTAGTTGAAAAGAGGTAAACAATTCAGAGAAGAAAAACACAAGGATTCGCACATTTGATATTTAACTAATCAAAAAAAGGTAAGGAAATATATGATTTTTTTTTTTTTAATTTTTCCTTCCATGAAATTTCCCAGAAAGGAAAAGGATCTTTTAAGGGCACGGAAAAAAAAGAGGCTACAGAGCACACTGGCTCTACGTAGAGCCCACAGGAATTGTCCGTAGGGCGCAAGCTAACTAAAGAGACACGTGGCAGGTGACTAACACACCCACCTATTCGATCGCGTTCATCTGTCGGAAGGAGATTGATAAATTTTTAATAATTAAAATATTTGGTTATCTCAACGAAAAAAAAAAGATTGTGTTGATAAATAATACTAACTTTTAATCATAAGTAAATAACAAAGAGAAAGATTGAAAATTGAAAGAAGTAAATAATACAAAAAAAGAGAAATATATTTTAATTAGATCTTGTACAATTTTAGTTTATTTTTTCGGGCAACTTAATTATTTTAGTTAACAAATACAGTACTTGCTGACTGGAAACAATCACCACGTCGAAAACAAAATTAAATGCGTTTACTTATGGAGTATCAGATTCATTTAACAACAAAAAATCATTAATTATTCTCCAGATTTACTTCTATTCTAATCAATTAATCCTTGTGGATTTGTTTGCATTTAAAATGTAATCTTTTATTTTGGATATATACAGTTATCAGTATGCACTCATATTTATTGGCATGTTTATCGTTTTAATATTCAGTAGTTTATCAAGGATCCTCGTATTCGAATCCATCCTCCAAGCAACCGTAATGGTGATCTTAGAGTTCTTCAACATATTATATTATTAAATTTATTATTATTTTAAGTTAAGAATCTCATTAACTTTTTTAAAATTGTAACACCTACAATGGAGAGATTCCATAGAGATTTAAAAAAAAAAATAAAAAAAAAAAATTTTGAACAAATTATTTTGAAATCAGAACATAGCTGTTTTGTTAAGACCACGAGGTTGCAAGATTCATCTGTGCCTTTGCTTCTTTCGAGAACCCGAACGTACATAGCAATCACCATTAAAGAGCATAAACGTACCAAGCTGCACAACTTGGTCAAAATAGAATAGCTAAATAAGTCAAAGCTTTCGCATGACAAGAAAAGAACAACTCGGTCAAAATTGAATAGCTAAAACAAACTCATAGACAACAAAAGATTGCGGTAAAGGGTTGGAATTGAAAAGTTGGAATTAAAGGGTTGGATTTAAAAACTTCCCAGAATACGAAAGTATGAAAGAAAACCAATAAATTTGTACAATGAATTCAAGCAACTGATAACCAAATCGGGGTAACGAGCATCTGATATAGTCAAGCTACAAATCAGATGCCGAGATCGTGTACACGAGAAGATGAAATCGAAATCAGACCTTGCAGAGACGGTCCTTGATGACGATATATGAAGAAGAAGGTCTTGGAAGCTCCGGCGTCTTCGTCGGAGAAAAAGAAGAGAAAACCCCGAAGACGGGGGGTCGATAGAAACTAGAAGAAAAAGAGAATTTTTTTTTTGTTTTCAACAAATCAGTTTACGATGCTGGGAAAATTCTGTGCCACCTCATATTTATTTATTTCTTTTTTTTTTTTGACTTAAGAGTTTCTCTCAATCTCTCCATTAATCATGCTCTTAGTTCTGATAATAAAACATTTTAAGAAAGGAACTCTGCAATTTTTTTCTTAAATTTAAAAGTACAAAATATAGTTATAAAGAAGTTTCACTTTTTGTTTTTTATTTTACAGATTGTTAAAAAATATTAGGTTTTAAACAAATAACACTATAAACTATATATGTTAAGTTTTTATCAGGTAAAACTGTTTACAAATTATATTGCTTTTTGTTGTTATAATTACCTCCTTTTGTGGTAAATAAATTATGTGCTATAAAATCAAAATTATTTATTAACAATTGGAATGCACATAAGAGTAACTAGGTGACTGCCTGCGCGGATGTGCGGATAAATGCAGTAATTGATTTTTTTTTTCTATGCTGTTGTTGTTTCAATCCAAGTCCACAACACCTTGAATCATTTCTCTGCAAGAGATGATGGCTACCATTAGAGAAGCGCTTCTCAAGCTGTAAGGCTGTTTTACTAACCTTAATACTGTCTTTTTCCACTCTTTTCCCATCCTACAACGCAAACATCACTTCGTCCATCAGTATCTCTTCTTTTTCTTCTGCACAGATATTTGTAAATTTTTGATATATTTTTGGGGATCAAAAATAATAAAAGATTTATATTTATCAATATATGTTTTAGATTTACCAATATAGATATATAGAACTCTACCATTTACCAATATAGAGAATTCCATTTTAAATTTAACAAACTTATTTTACTAACCTCATTAATAGGCGCTATATCATATTTATCAATATTTCAGTTATAGATAATAAGAAATTATAGATAATAAGGAATTCTGTAGATAATGTATAAATTAATATTTCAGTTATAGATAATAAGAAATTCTATAGATATTGTATGAATATATATAATCGATTCTAGAACATTAACATATGTTAATATAACAAAAATTATCATACAAAATTCTCATAAACCCGAAGAACCTGAACAAAAAAAAAATGAATGTGTAGCTAGTCGTACGTAGTGTGTGATATTGCCTTCCGCAAAAGATATCACATTCTATCATAACGATTTTCTTGATGATATTTATGCTCTGCATTCTAGGTGCAGCATGCATGTGGGAAACTACCTTTATTTACACAAAGGAATGGACATGTAATACAAGCATTGTTTAGGTCAAAGAATTCAGATATATGATTATAAACAATAGACACATAAACTAATTAGAACATCCTCAAGTACATCGACGAAGAGCATCATTTTGAGTTAAAACTTCTGAAGCTTTTTAAAAAAAAATTTCCACGAGTACTTCGATAAAGGAATTTCGATTCAATTCTTTGTCACTCTATAGAAGCTCACACAGATAACACGGTCCGGTGCTAATTTACACAAATAATTTACAATAGTCATATATGGTTATCTTGTTATCGAAAATGGGTATTTGGGCATGAAGACCGTGGGATATGAGAGCTTGAACATAATACTGAAAACAGAAGAACATATAACGTGATTGTGGGAGAGGGGTGATAACAATCTAAAAAATAAAAATCACTAAATAAATAAAACCAATAAAGTATAAATATGAACATAGTGTTTCCAAACAAAAATAAAACAATAGGTTGTAAACGATATTTTCTAAGCATTATCAACCAAATCATAGGTACGCCATTCATCTTCGAAAGTAGGATAAACAATCCCATGGACCGTTTTAATATCGTCATAAGAACATAATCCTTTGACTTTAAGCAATAGAAGTCGTAAATAATGGATCTCTCCTAACAAATGACAACTCGGTGAACAATGCATCAAATGACAACTCGGTGAACCCCGAGACATAGGTTTACAACGACGTCCTTTGGATTCGCATACCCACTTCGAAGAAAATTCTGAATAAGTTAACATACTTGCTTCAGGGTAAACTTTATTACACTCCACCCATGCCAAAAACTTGGACGAAATCAATCCCTCTTTAGGTAGGTGGTATGACAACAAATTAACACCTACAAAACATGAACAAAATCTAAGAGTATAACAAAGAAAAGTACAAATATAAAAGATTTAAAAACCGTATAAAAACCAACTTGAACCTTGCTTTATAGATGATGGAGTAACTTAGGTAAAAACAATAAATAACCTACAATATTTTTGACATTAAGAAAAAGATTTATGAACAATCATCTCGATCATAAAAAACAAAGAAATAGATTTTTATCAAAGGAATTAAAGACGACGAAAATATGCTGGACCTAAAGATTTTATGTAGGTGGTTCTTGTGTTAATGTTTTTGAGTTTATGCTAAATAGAAGTATTTATAATGTTGAAAGGCTGAAAATGAGAAACATAATTTAAGGCTATGCGAAACTAATTAAGTTAGTAAATAATTTATAAAAGAATGATTGGAAATCAATTATTAAACAATGATTTAGTTTATTTGGCCGAATTTGGTCTTCAATGATTTAGCTTTGTTAAATCGACATATGGTTTAGTTTATTTGATGATTTTGATAATTTCATAATTTTAATAAAGGATCATAATTTTCATTAAGGATAATTAAAGTAAATTCATCTGAAGGGCAAAGGGTAATCAACCATCATAATTCTCAAACACAGCCTAACTTGCTTGCCAATTAATAATATGATGAAAATCATAAATTCAGATCTCCATAAAAATATTGAAAAATACTGCATATATACTCTAAATTTATCAGTAAAATCTTAGTTGACATTGTTTCCGATTATGAACAATTCTAGCCATATAGAAATGGTGAATAACAATACTACAAAATGTTCTACTGATGTTTCCTCAAACCGATTTTCTACTGAATTTGGAGCAAATTCAAAATCCAGATTTCATAAATCTCATAGCAAAATATAAGTTTGTTTGAACATCCAAACCGGTGACGACTCGTCTAAACATCAAAGTTTCACAAAGACTTGTGAAGGTTGGCGCATCTTGAATCATGAAAGTGCTATAATTAAAACCATGTTTTGTTTACTATTTGTGGTTTAAAGCAATTAATCTATGTGTTTACCTTATTGCAACAGAATGAGTTTTAATTAACATTTCATACTCTGTTAAATTTATCTAGATGAAACTATTGTATGCTAGATTTTGTTTTTGCTATTTTTCTTTATAAATACTGTTAGTACGATATATATTTTTGTATCATTTCGCTAGTACGATACATAACCTCAGGCTGATTTATCAACAATTGAAAAACCCCCCACAAGAGTATTGAAAATCATATGCAGATCCCCATAAGAGTATTGAAAAGCATATACTCTAAATTTATCAGAAAATCTTATTTGCATTGTTTCCTAAGTTCTATTTTGGAAAAAGAAACACAAGAAAATTTGATAAACAATGAATGTGAAATTGATAGAGCTATGGGAAGATATTCCCAATAATAAGCTAGAATTATTTTTTTGCAATTAAATTTTTCTTGATAAAGAGTGTTAGTACGATCTCACTGACACTTGAAAACACAGACGATAGGGATCTTGACCAGACCAGCGATGGCATCTTGACCAGACCAACGGTGCGACTAAGTCATACATGGCACATGCTTACGTTAGTAACGGTACATAATGTCGGAGTGGTTTTTTTATTTGATTTATCTCAATTTTGTAATTTGTTACTAATCACGTAAAGATTTTTTGCAAAACTATTTGGACTGAAAAAGACAAAAGTATACAATCATGTTTTGGAAATTTTGAATAACGACAACAAACTCAAACAAAACAATGACAAGAATACAAATATACAAATATACAAAACCGTACGTCCACAACACGTCTCTATGCAATAGTATCGTTTCTTCTATACCGAATACAAACCAAACCGGTTTAGTGATTTACTCATTGACCATCAAGGTTCCGGTTTCCCATTACCCGTCTCAAGTCGACTGAAAGGCAGAGATGGTGACGAGCTACTACTCGCATTGCTGCTCGTTACGGTGGTTCTCCGGGTCCGACGTTTGGTCTGTACAACTACACAATTTTCATCGTCCGAATCCTCCATTAGTTCCTCAGACTGCTCATCTTCATATTCTTCGTCTTTAAAAATCGGATGAATATATGCATTTTGAAGAAACCCTTTCAAATTCAAGTTCGGTTCTTTTGCTCGTTCCAATGTATCCTTAATCATAGCTTCCTGTAAACCGGTACCAACAAAATTAAATATACATATACCGAACCAAACCAAAATTAAGCTAAAACCTACCTTCGGTTAATATAGAGAGTTTTCAATCTTGGTATAAGTAAATTGAGTCGAAGTATTGTAACTAGTAAGGTCACCAACTTCATACTAATTACCTGCAAAGGGTTAATGACGAATGCCGATTCGTACCGGCCTTTGCAGAACCGGTGAAAACCGATGGTTATAATCGGTAGAACGACGAGGAAAGGCGTGGACTGAGCTTTTCCTTTCGTGCTCATCAATCCAATCAAAAGGATCTGCGAGATGATCAATGCCGATATTATACGTCCATGAACGTCTGGCCAGAACGCAGCCGCGCTCTCATATTCTTGATTGTACACATTTATGATCTGCAAAAGAAACCCGGTTTAGCTAATAACCCAAAATGCAACCCTGGTTCAAATCGTATTGGCTCCAAGAATCTTGAAACTAGAGATTCAAAAACCAAACCCTAACCTAAATCTCAAGTAAACTACATGAACTTGATAAAAGTTGATAGAGAAAGAGAGTTTGTTATTCCTTTTTCACCTGATGACGGAAGATAAGGTAGGCGAAACCAAAGAAGAAGATGATGAAAGGAAGTAGAACAGGTGTGACCGGAGCATATACAAGGCCGAGGAGGAAGTAGAGTTGAATCCGAGGCTCGGTTGCATAGAACTCGATCTGTCCCGGATCCATAGCTTCTTCTATATCCTTTTCTGTTTTCACAAAGAAGAAGTTCTTCAAATGGAAGATGACAAACGGTTTCAGCCTAAGAATCTCTCCCGCCACACCAGCCCAACCGTCAACCATTATATACGTTATGAAGAACGTTGCTTTTATCGGTATCGCTACTCCAACGGTACGTGGAATCCTGAAAACAAGAATGTAATATAAGTTTGAGAAAACAGAGTTTTTCGAGAGAGTGAAAAGTGAAAGATTATTCGAGATTGAGCTTTTACTGATCAGCGGATTGTTTGAGGAATGAATCAAGCTGTTCAAATGCGGATCCGGTGATTATGCTACCGAGGAAAACATTCACGAGGTTGAATAGATAATATCGGAAAGCTGCTCTTCTCTCTAACGATGATATAGAAACAAACCCTTCGAATTTCGACATGATCATCAAGATTGTTGGCAAGAATATCAAGAAGAGCTTCAAGACAATACCGGGAAGAAACCCTTGGATCACCGATTTAATAAACTTCCTGCACACGCAAGATTGAATCAAGAATGTTCTTTAATCGAAAAACAAACGTAAGCAAGAAACTTCAAGAAATGTACTTACCTTTCGATGATGGGATTGAGGAACGGAGCGGATTTTCGGATACCTTCAATACTCGCTAGGGATTGAACAAATGCGATTGGGATGATGAAGAAGAAAGTGAGGAAGAAGAAGGCGACGTGCATTACAAGTCTCCTAACAGTGAGGGATACGTAAGGGATCGCTAGGTTTGGCCAGTAGACTTCTCTTGCCTCTGGAGCCCATTCGGTTAGCCACTCGGTTGGATTCTTCGTCTGCTGAGTCTGTGCGCAAACCGCAGCGCCCCAACGCGTTTTAAAAGAGACAAACGATGCTGGCATTACACCTTTCTCATCTTTCTTTACTCTCTTCCTTTCTTCCATTATCTATGAAAATCCAAAATTAATCCGAATAAAAAAAGCAAAAAATATCACATTGAGTTCTATATATGAGCAAGAACACAAAAAGAAGTTGTTGTCCTATAAAAACTGAAACATCCGCTCATGAAGCCAAACCATATATAGTAACCGAGAACCAAATCAAGAACCTCTAGAAGAAACAATACTTACTTGCTTGCTAAGTTTCTCGATCTCATCCGTGTAATGATCCATTGCATCTACTTTCTTTCCCCATAGTCCAAGAAATCCCATCTGCGAGATGAAACATAAATTAGACAAAAGCTTTCTATCTTCTAAACATGTGTTTCCGGTTTGGTCAAGTATCAACCTTTACCCGTGGCCTTTGTTCCTTGTTTCTTGTATACTTCAATTGGTAGTAATCAAACCAATTCTGCATTTTCTTCTTCTCAGCTACTAATTCAGCCAATTCATTTGCATTATAAACCGCCTGAGATATATATAATCAAAAAAGACTTAACCGGAGAAAATAACGGTATAAACCGAATCAAAGACTGATGATTCCTTTTAGGACTATATGAGCTAACCTGATTCGTAAGATAATGATCCGGATGGTTAACCATAAAGAAATGCTCCACGTTTTCGCTAATTGACTCGTCCGGATCCGGTGGTATGTTCCTAACCAAAACCTAGTAGATGCAAAAAAAAAAAAAATTGAAACCTATTTCATATATATAAATGTTAGACCAAAATAGCAGAAAAGTTTTGATTATATAAAAGAAAAGGAAAACATATATACGGTGAATTGATCAGCACGACGCTTTTCCGATTGGAGAAATGCTAACCGCATTGAAGCTATTTTCTCATATTCCTTCATTAGAACATAGAGAGTCCAGAATGTGAATGCGTACTCCATCACTAGATGCGCCCAAAACCTTTTCACAAAATTAAGAGATTCTAATCATTAGAGTGAAATATAAAATATAAAAAGAGATTTAACTTGTTTTTTTCTAACGTCTAACGAACCTGTCTGATCCACGTTCGACATTTGATATCGAAAGCTTATCGATGTTGCTCGATGTTACATTACGAAGTTTTGCTAGCTGCAATCCATCACTTGTCCAATTTACAGGTACCAAAATTGACCATGAAAGTAATGCGATCGGGACAAAGATCTTTAGTCTATAAAATAGTAAAAAAAAGAAACCCATTAATTAGAAGAACAAAAAAAAAACAAATAACAAAGCTAATATTATCATTCACTTCTACAATATCAAGAACAATACTCAACAGGCTTCTAATTATTAATGCACGTTGCATGCAAATAACAACGAAGATTGAACATTTTCATTAACGGGCCAAAGATCTTAAGTCTATATAGTAGTTTTTAAAAAAAAAATTACTTAGAAAAACAAAGAACTTAGCTAATATTAGTATTTCTCTTCTACTATATCAAGATCGATGCTTAAACAAGCTTCTAATTATTAATGCACGATGTATGTAAAGAAGTTTGGAACATTTTGCATTACCCAATCAAGTAAATCCTCAAGTAGACAGCAGAATCCAAACCAGCATGATCGATAAGTTCAGGCTCCGGCATCTTTAGCGCGGCGGGAATCCAATTCAAGAACCGTATGTATGAACGAAAATCGAAATTCACAATCTTGCTCACAAAAACACCCGAATTCAACGGGTTGCTTCTAAGACCTTTTAAGTACCATTTAGGGAAATAAACCCTATCATTGAATGGTTGGATCCTCAATATTGCAAATAGCAAAAGGAATATCAAAGCACTTAGAATGTTGATCGTTGCTGCTACTCCAATATCTGCTAGTGTCGCCATCTCCTTTTAACTATATAAACCCTAAAAAATATTCTCCTCGCCTGCAAAAAGTTTAGAAATTTAATCTTCTAAAAAATGTATATATATTAAAGAATCAGTGCCGTGACATGAGAGGTTTTAGTCTCTAGATTAATGCTTGAAGAACATATTGAATAAAAAAAGAAAATCTCATCTTTAGAAACCCATTACCCAGGAAATTTATTTTAGCCCTCGTTGACCAAAAAAAAAATTACTCTTTTCCTAATGTTCTTGAAGAAGTAATCTTCTTATCAGATTAAAGAAAGATGAAAAATAATGAAGAAATGTTTTAGACGAACCTAGAAATCAGATTGGGGCGTGTTTGGTTTGGATTGTCATGAAGCTTGGAGATTATTCCTCAAGTTTTCTAGCATTGCACAAGCCAAACAGGTCTTTTAGCTTTGTCTCTTTTACTTCTCCTTCTCCTTCATCGGACACGAGGGTAGGAGAAAAGAAAAACAGAGAGAGACCAAAAAAGACAGAGTATAGAAACAGAGAGATCGGTTCTGTTTAACAGCTCACAAATTGGGAAGAGAAAAAAAGAGACGTCATGCCGTTTTTGTCAAATACAAAACGCTGAAAATAAACGGGGAAAGAGAAATAGAAAGAGGGAGAAGAGAGGGAAGCAACCAGAAATAAAAAAAAAAAGGGTTGAAAAAATGCCTCATTCGGTTTATGCTAAAGTTGGTCTGCTTCTATTCGTAGACTCTGTCTTGAAAGTTGAAAAATGCCTCATTGGGATTATGGTAAATAAACTTCAAACCCCCGCTAATTTTCTTGTTAACACAAGTATGTGCTTCATTTGTATGATCATGGAAAATGGCCAATTCATGTTTTATTATGAACTGCGATTCCAATCCGTTTCTATACTGATAATGAGTTGTGCAAAAATATATCTAATTTAGTATAAAATAACATATACAATATTATGATTATAAATAAATAAATAAAATATTTCCGTAAACAAAGTTATATGAAGTAATTGAATTGAATGAGTTCCAGTAGAACCTCTATAAATTAATACTCGATAAATTAATAATCACTATAAATTAATAATTTTTGCTGATCCCAAATCAGGTCAGTGTAAAAATTAGCAAATTTTGATAAGATAATAAGATAATATTTTTTTTGAAACTCCTGTGTAAAATACAGTCCTAATAATTAGATAAATTAATAATTATACATTTAAACATATATAAATAACATAATATAGTAAAATATAATTATATCATTGTTTCAAGTTTATAAAAATTGTTTGACTTATTTTTTTAAATTCATTGATATGATATTTTCTGAATAAATTTTACATTGTTGAGAACATTTTTTTTTTATTTTTTGACAAATATTATGGATTTGAACCAAAATATTTCTCTATAAATTAATAAAATATTAATTTCTCGATAAATTAATAATTATTAATTTATCGATTAATTAATAACTCTATAAATTAATAAAATTTTGCAGTCCCAACATTATTAATTTATAGAAGTTTTACTGTATTATCTCTATTTAGACATTTTTTTAGTATTAGTATAGGGCACATGTTCCATTATATTCTCTCCGTTTTTTAATATAAGATGTTTTAAGAATATATAATATTTTCATAAATTAATGCAAAATTTATCAATAAACTATTTTTTTATTTTTGTATTAATTAATGAACAAAAAAATAAACAATAATTAAAAGAGTTACAATATATATTTTACTAATCTCCTTAATCTATATGTAAATCTTTAAAATATTTTATATAAAAAATTGAAAGGATATAAAAGAGATAATATGGGTCTGTTATTGATTATATCCATATTTATATTGATCAAGTTAAATTAAATATATAATTAAAAAATTTTGTTGTGTAAATAAGATAATGATTTTATAGTTGACTCTAATGATTTATAATAAAACATAAATAATATACTAATGAATAATATATAGAGAAATTACACTCAATGAACCCAATTAATCTGACAATTAACTGATTGAATTCTCTTCTCTCTTTTCACTACTGTTCATTGCAAAAAGACATAAATTACCTTTATCTCTTATTTTTTAAAATCAATCAAAAAAACTCAAATCTTTACATGTCTTCCTCTTCTCCGTCATTACCAGTTTTTTCAATATCACTTTCTTATATGTCTTCAATTTCTTTACGAATTTATTTGTGTATCTCTTTTTTATATAAATTTCGAAATTGATAATGGTGGCGATGGTGGTGGGTGGAGAATAATGATAAAAGACAATGATGGTGGTGATGTCGATGGTGCTGGTGGTGGTGGTGTGATCGATAATGGGATGGTGTTGGTGATAGTCGGTGATGGTAATAGTGATAGTCGGTGGGGTAAAAAATGGTGATATCAACATTAACACGATAGTTATCATGCTCACAACGTTAGCACGATAATTTGTTGATATAATAACATTGTTAACATGATAATTTTGCGTAACTTATACAGTTAACAAAGCTAACTCCAATTTTTTATGAAATAATAACAATGTTAACATAATAGTTATCATATTAACTTGATATTTGTATAATGTGCTAATCGAGCATCATATTAGTTAGCATGATAATACAGTTAATATGATAACTATTGTGTTAACGTCTTATTTATTTCAATGTACTAATAGAGCATTATATTAATTAGTGTAGTTATCACGATATCATATTAATATGTTAATCGAATTGTTATCTACCCAAACCATATCAAATAACTATAAAGATAAAATAGTCATAATTTATATGTATAATATGTATCAATTTAATTATCAATTATTGGCTTCGGATTTTTTATTTTTCAATTAACTTGGATCATTTCCTCAATTTTCCTTAATATATATAGTACATCAAAATTTGAAGTTTCCAGAAACTACAGGGTCAATCCGTGTGGAAAACAAAAGTATAGGGATCTTATTAATTATAAAAAAAAAAGTAAGACTATAAAATGACATCAGATTGGACAAGACAACACTTGGAAATTGATTCTGTCCGAAATCGGCAACGTCGTGAAAGCCACGCGCTTAAAGAGGGAGCGTGGGCGTCGTTTATTTTCAAGTAAAACGTCGTTTTTTCGACGTCAGATCACTCGCCATTCGCGTTTTTGCGAAAAAGCGTGCTATCACGTTGAATTCTATTTTAATCAAAATTCCAGCGTGATACTACGAATAATCTTTTTCATGTTTAGGAATTAGGATTGCTTTTACAAAAACTATCAAAATCGAATAGAGAATCCATTACAGGATTATTTTTTTTACGGCTTTAAATCTTGCTAATTGGAATTAAACAATTTCACACAAAAATACTGGCTATTGTCTCCAAGATCAATAGAATAAAAACCCTCAATACTTGTATAATGGCTCCAAGATCAAATACATTACTAGACGTGGCTAGTTTGGGTTAATATTGTTACACCAAATAATACGCTAAGCCGCTTGCACTACACGGAGACGCAGTTACTTAACTACTAATTATATACGAATAATTAATTACCCCACAAAAAAAAAGAGTTGAAAGAGAAAGTATTGGTTCTGATCTTGGTCAGTTTTAAATCTGCCTCCTGGTCGATTTTGTGGGATCAAAAATCTGTTTTTGTCTTTTAAAATCTTCAGTCTATATGTACAAAAGAGACGTCACTTGGTTCTGTTATGTACTTCTATCATCGATGCTTTCTCCTGCAAACTCAAATATTAACAACACTCTCATAAATCCAATACTTCACCTCTTCAGTGTATAAACAACTGCTCTTGAGTTTACCATATAAACTTCCACATTATATATTGAGTTAAAAAAACAAAGATGAGAAAGGAGAAGAAAAGGACCTCGTTTGGTGAACTATTCTCAGAAGGGAACCATCGAAGAATCACACCGAGGTTCATTGCACTCGGTATTAATTTGAACAGCAATGGAGTCGTCACCTATAACAATCAGCATTTGAGGTTGTAATGTATGTATTATCATTTCAAGTGAATTCTTCTTGTTTGAGTAACTTACGAGACTCAAAGCTGTTGTGCCCAAAAGGAGGAGATACATTTTCCCCTATATTGTTTCATTCATTACAACACAATAAAGTTTAGTAATAAAGAAAATAGTAAAAAGAGTGTTCAATTACAACAGGCAAAAAGTGGTGTTGTCACCTCGATAACGTGTAGGTTTGATGCTCGGCTTAGAAGAACAAAAGCAAACTCGCCAATCTGAGCAAGAAGTACCCCGACCTGTTACATTTTGTGACAAAACAAAATTTTAAGTGATTGGTTTCAATATGAAGAAACTCATTGAAGCTTTTAGCAGAAGAGGGTATATAATAAACTCACGTGGAAAGATATCCTCATGTTGTACCGAAAAGCCTTAACTACTATTGCTGCAATTGCTGTCTTGATAACTATAACTAGAATCACAGATGCGAGAAGGATATCCACGTGGTTCCATAAAAAGTGCACGTTTATGAGCATCCCGATACTAGATAGGAAGAGAGCGGCAAATAGATTACGGATTGGTTCCACCTACATCAGCCAAGTAAGTGAGATTCCAAACTGTTTATGACCTTAAGACTTAGCTTCTTACGAAGTATACACAGCGCATGTTTTAACTTGACTTTTAGAATCAGTAGTACCTGTTCAAGTGTATGTTGAGCAAATTCGGTTGTAGACAGCATAACACCAGCCACAAATGATCCCAACTCAAGACTAAGACCCAGCTTGTCACTGCACTGAAGAAGTTTTGCAAGGAACCAACACTAAAGTCAAGAATGGGAATCTAGATAGGTATGCTTCTGTAAACCATCATTAAGATGATCCAAGCGTAGTTAATATTTTACTCGATTTTTAAATTCACCAAAAGGGATCAGAAAGCTAATCAAACACAGATATACATAAAAGAATGATAGATAATTAGACTTACCCATGCAGATAGTAAACAGAATGCCACGGCAGCCAATTGGTAAAGTTCGTTTGTCTGCATTACACAATGAGAAACATTGACACTAATTCGTATGCCACTCAAAGATAGAAGGAAATATTCAAAGTAGCGTCCAGGGAATATACATAGTCGAAAACTTACTTGAGATGATAACTGAATCATTAGCTTCAAAAAGCGAGGCACAAATGACCACGTTAGTAAGGATGCAACCGTGAGATATAAGGACAATATCAGAAGCCTAAATTAGACAAAGAAAATGTTTTGGGTCAGATAAGATAATGGGGATATTTAAGAGGTTCCTGGTCAAACTTTTTGGTATGAGACCACTTACAGCTTTCCCATTGATATAATTCCTTGTAATAACCCACTGTTACCACCCAAAACCGGAAGCAATGCGAATAGTAAACCAACGACACAGTCCTGCAAAATTCAAGAGTAAGGAAGAAAATAGCTGAAGGTGGTGAAAACCTTTAAACAGTGAAATATTCAACTTGTAAATATAAGATGTCATGAGTGAAACCTGAAAGATAAGTATCCCTATCGTAACTTGACCATGGAGAGAACTTGTACTGTTCCGTTCCACCAAAAACTTTACCACCTGATCAAATTGAATGTGGATAAAAGACAGAAACTTAGAGATGAAACAGGAAAAGTGTATCTTTTGGTAGAAAACTTGAGAAGACTAAAGACATGAAACGTACCACTGCAGTTGATGACATAGATAGAAAAGCACCAACAAAAATACCTTCCGACAACCTTGCTCCACACAACTGCAAATGTCAACAAATCAATTTTGTTATAAAGTCTTAATTTGTCAATATATGCACTAGAACATACATGATTGTTTTCCCCATACCAAGGCAGTTACACCACACAAAAACATAAGTAAAACGATTTGAAGAAGTCCTCCAAGGACAGCAACTGGGCCAACAACTTTCAGCTGCAGAATCCACACAAGAACAACAACAGATTATCCAAGTGAGAATCATAAGTCTACATGAAATTTTATTTTAGTTGCAGTCAACAGGCAACGAATGCCTACCTTAGTCATTGAGAATTCCAAGCCCAAAGCAAAAAGGAGGAAAACAACACCAAACTGGGCAACGGTCTCAACCTGCCATAGCATCAGAAGAATAAACACACAAAATTATGAATACCAGTCATAATCAACAAACTCAACAAACACAAAAAAAAAACTGATTCTTGATCAAATTTATAGAGCAATAACTAATCACAAAATGGCTTCCAATATTTATAAATACCTGAACCATTTCACTTATGAATTTCAGTCCTCCTGGCCCAATGATTGACCCCGCCAGAAGATATCCAACAATAACCTAAGACACGTAGCAATGGTGCAACATAACATCAGAATAGATAACTGACCACAACGTGAAGCCTGAGATACTACAAACCCAAGATCAGATGTCTTTCATTCTAATTTGTAAGGGTGCATACCGGTTGTCCAAGACAGGAGAAGACAATGCCACCAATCGCAGCAAAAACGATAATGACCACCAAATCTGATATCAATCTGCGGGAAACGCCAAGAAGCTTTGCATCAAAAGCCTGAAACAGTGCATGTAATATAATGCTCCAATACAGAGGAAATCAGAGAGAGAACAACCTCAGATCTACTTGAAGTATTGGATACTTAGATTTTTTGTTTGACATGACAAAAACATTGTTCTGCAAAATACCAGGAGAATAACATTATTAGCTGAAAATCTATAAATAATGTTGAGAAAGGTGTAGAAAATCCTGCTTAGTATTCCAATACCTTTTTGTCGATAAGAGTCATATCATCAGAATCTTCATTTTCCAGGGAAAACACATCCTGGAGTTGGAATGGTCTCGTACCACTGAGCAAACAGAGAAAAAATAAATGGGGAGAAATAAGTTATAAACCCTCAATGAACAATTAATCATTTAATTACTTGCAACAACTAGAACAAGGTTCTCTACGCACTTATTTTCTTGCGTATCATTTCTTTTGCCCTTCTCGTGCGTTACTTTCGCTACAGTCTCTATTTCAGCCTGGAAAACACATCAGAAGAGGGAATCTGAATGCAGATCTAAAAGAACATCAAAGATGACACTAAGAAACAACAAAGAAGATACTTGAAACCTACTTGTTGATCAGCAACACTGATGTTAAAGCTGGCTCCTCCATCCGATCCTAAGCAAAGAAACTTGGGTTAAGCGAATAGAAGATGTAAGCTTCACCACCCACCAACCTAAACGCACTCACAATCACAGATCCACGCAAACACGTATTTGCATCTTTTTACAGAAAAAAGAGGTAAAACCAGAAATGTTTTTGTCCCTTAACTTTGTACATGTTCAAAACAATGGCCAGTGAAGTAAAGGAACTAGCTCTTTTTCTCAGAACCTAACCTTCAGGCTGATCGTTCTCGGAGAATTCTTTCTCGAGAACTCGATCGAACATTTTGGCGATACTCCCTTCACCGTTTCCCGGCGCCGTCGAGTTCACCACATTGCCGTAAAATCGCTCCCGGATTTCCTCATCGGATCTCGCCGACGAGGCTGTGCCAACTAGAAGGAGGAACGAAAATCCAATCACTGCGAATCTCCTCGCCATGGATATCTACAATGTCATTCGCATATTAAAAACCTAATTTGACCTCAATTTCAAAATCATCAAAGTTAAACTGGTGACCCAGACATGATAAAATCCACAATTCGTCGGATCATTCTTCTGCCATTGAAATTTCGACGAGTTTCCAGTTGAACAATAAGGTGCGCGACGGGTGAATGTTCGTGAATCATTCAATAAGAAGTTTGACTTGAACGAATCAATCGAGAAAAGATAGAGAAAAAAAGGGAAGAAGTCGTACGTAAGCATGAAACTGACGAGAACCATTTGGTTTTTCGTCGTCGGTGAACATGGCGGCGTTGTAGCCAATACGTTGGCACCGGAGCTTCTTCGTTGCCGATCTCTTTCTCTTTTCCTCTCTTTCTCTCAGATCCAATCTATTTTCAAAATCTGCGATTGTTTTTCTTTGACAAAACTAACCCTCCGTTTATGTTGAAAAATAATTTTTTGTTTGGTGGAAGATAATTGTCATACAATTAGGATCAGTTTAATCAAACAATTAATAAGCTCTAGTACTATGTCATTGTTTGATTAAACTGATCCTAATCTGATTACCAGATTCTAATTGCATTTGAAAACTAATTATTTTCTCTACTTGAACAAGAAAACATATCTTTTTCAGTTATATGTGTAGCACAAAAAACCCCATTTAGCCAGTTACATATTAATCTAAAAGATATTTTATTTTCCCAGTGAAATGAGAAGATGAAAACACAATTTGAAAAGATGATAAACTTCACAATGAAGATCCCAGAAAAATAAAATATCAAACTGTCTAACATGAAACATCTCAGCATTTCCATTGTGCAAAAACAGATAAAGCCATAGATATTCAACACAATTAAAAAATAAAAAAACTAAAGAAAATTGGTCATAAACTGATTTGACCAGCATGGTTACTTGCTTCATTTTACTATTTAATGTGATATATTCTTTATTTTATGTTCGAATTTAATTATTCACCCAATTATTCAAGTCATAGATATAGTAGCTAGTTAAATAATTATTCAAGTAATAAAATTTAGTTTTTCAACAAGTTGCATAGTAATAAAACTTATTATGTTACCTAGTTGGTAGGAGTTTATCCACCTTTACATTTCACGTGATAGATTTTGTTGATAACTAATAATCAAGAAAATTACTCTTTATTAAAACTAAAAAAAAATCAATTGAAGTGTTAATTTTTTAGAAAAATGATACAAAATGATTAAGACAGTCTACTTGATCAATTTACAAAATTAGAAACACAAAGGACATAAACAAGGCTGTCGTTCGTATTAGATAAAATAAAGGGTAAAAATAAAATAATTTAAAAGGACAAGGGACCTTAAATTAATACCAGCGTCAATCTCAAGGATTAGATTTAGAACCATTTACAGTATTACTTTATTACGTTCAGACAAAACAAAATAATAACCCTTCACTGAAACACGAGCAAACTCTCTCTCTCTCTCTCTTTCTTCACTTAATCTTCGTTAAATTCGGCAAATCTTTCTCTCTGTCTGAGTCAACAAGAGAAGAGAGAGAAAGAAAGAGTGAGCAGTGTGTTCTTCACTATGGCTGAAGACAGAACTGACGAAGAGAAGCCTGAGACTTGCGATAATCGACTCCAAGATCGGATCCATGGAGGGGCCTCTCCGGTTCAATCGCCGACACGACTCGGCCCAACCCGGTTCTCTGAAGTAGCTGTAGACAAGATTCGGAATAGTGGGTCGGATATTATCGGGTCGATTTGGTCTTGGATCAATGGAGATCCGAACCGGAATTCGAAAAACCCGGTTAAGCGAGGAAAACGGAAGAGAATTCGAACGGCCAAAACCGCCGTTGGAGTGATCATACTTGTGGGTTTCTTCATTTTCGTCAATTGGTTTATGCTCTCTCAGCTCCACGAAGGTCGAGCTTGGCTTCGAAGAGGATTCGCGAAAAACCGGAATCCGAAACCGACCACGAAACCAAACCCGGATCCGAATCCGAGTGTGAAACGGGTATCTGTGAAAGTGTCGGCGTCGGTACAGGTAACTTAATTAGTTTGTGGTTAGTAAATAATTATGATTCTTATTTTTTTTAACTGTCAATTTCTGGTGTCAAGTCAATTTCAAATCCCAAATAAACAAAAGAATTAGCTTATGCCATCTCCCAAAAATAGAAAAAGGGATCTTTAGTTCATTCCAAAGATCAAATGGTTAAATTGTGTAAAACAAAATCAACTTCTGGTCTGTATATGCAATTAATCCAACTAAAAATCTTGTTGGGAAAGTTTTTACATTTCTGAGATTTTCTAGATGAAATCTGAAACGATGGTGGTATGGTAAATGGTATAACATTTGTTAGGAAAGTTTAAATTTAGAGTTTTTAACATGGTAAATGGTAATGTTGTTGTTTTTAAAGAGTTTTTTGTGACTGATGTAATCTTATGTTACTTGATGTGAGCTTGTGGATTGATGTTTGTATAAGTTTTATGTAAACTTGTTGTTGTTGTGTGACTGTGATTGATATAGCATGGAGTGAAGAAAAAGATGGGAAAACCAAAGAAGCAATATAATGGAACCTATGGTAGACTGTTGGCTTTGGCTGCTCATGCTTTGGCTGAGGTATTTTCTATTATTATTCAAACTGTTTTCACATTTCCGAAATCCACCCGTGACATTGTTTCTTTAGGGACAAAACAAAATTGAGCCAAAAGAGTTGTGGCGAGAACCGAAGGATCAAGCTTTGGCTTGGAAGCCTTGCGCTGATCAACGTTCTTGGAAGCCCAACGGTCTCTCACTCTCTCTCTCTTCCTCTCTAATTTTCACTTCTTGTCCTAAATTGGTATTATAACCTTTTTTACTCATTTTAGTGTCTCTTTGTGTCGATTTTAGACGGCAAAAATGGATATATAATGGTAACTGCAAATGGTGGAATCAACCAACAGAGAGTTGCTGTAAGTTATGATTGCGTTACACATTCCTTTTGTCCACCTTTTTGAAATACTAACCGTTGGTATTTATTAACAGATTTGTAACATCGTTGTTGTTGCACGCTTGCTCAATGCGACACTCGTTGTTCCGAAATTCATGTTCAGCGATGTTTGGACCGATGCAAGGTAACTATTGTAAGGTCCCTCCTGGTCTCTCGCTCCCTCACTTAGTATTGATCATTTTTTTTTTTAGTCAAATTTTGACATTCTTGATTGGTATATTATGCTTCATAGTCAGTTTGGAGATATCTATCAGGTGGAACATTTCATAAAGTATCTCTCTCCTGATATTCGGATTGTAAAGAAACTACCAAAGGAGCTTCAGTCTCTAGACCTTGAAGCTATTGGCAGCGTTGTAAGTTCTATATACCAATTATAATTTGAAAAAAAAACGAATTTCATCTTTTGTCTTTTGTTTATACTTTCTTTTTTTGGTCAAGGTTACGGATATGGATGTTGTGAAAGAAGCTAAGCCTGGGTTTTACAAGAAGCACATTCTCCCTCTTCTTCATAAGAACAGAGTAGTCCACTTCTTCGGATTCGGAAACCGTTTAGCCTTTGATCCGATACCGTTTGAGTTACAGGTAAAGAGACTTTCCTTTTATATAGCAAATCTATCTCTGAACACATAATGATCCAACTTTCTTTTCTTGGTAGAGTAGAGGCTGCGTTGTAGATGTAACTTTCACGCGCTAAACTTCGTTCCAAAGATTCAAGAAACGGGTGCGATTCTCGTGAGGAGATTACGCGACAGCGGATCACACTTAGCACCTGTTGATCCCTATCTCGTCGGTCCGAAATTCGCGTCCTTCATATTGGACAAGAAGGCAGGTCCTCTCCATAAAGCTTCAAAGTATCTAGCGGTACATCTCAGGTTTGAGATCGATATGGTGGCTCATTCTCTTTGTTACTTCGGAGGAGGCGATGCGGAGAAGACAGAGCTCGATGCTTACCGGGAAAAGCACTTCCCCACGCTGGCAAATCTAACAAAGACGAAAAAGTTCGGTTCTTTTTTTATCTCTCTTTAAATCTGTTTTTTCGCCTTACATATCAATTTTGGCTTCTTACGCAATGCTCTGTTTTTTGGTTTCTTACGCAATAATCTGTTTTTGTGTTTTTTTTTGTTCATACGCATTGCTCTGTTATTTGGTTTCTTACGCAATGCTCTGTTTTTGGTTCTTGCGCAATGCTCTGTTTGTTTGATTTCTTACGCAATGCTCTGTTTGTTTTATTTCTTACGCAATGCTCTGTTCTTTGGTTCTTACTCAAAGCTCTGTTTTTTTTTGTAGAATGCCATCTCCGGAAGATTTGAGGACGGAAGGTCTTTGCCCGTTATCACCTGAAGAAGCCGTGCTTATGCTCGCGGGTCTAGGTTTCAACCGCAAGACCCGTGTTTTCGTGGCCGGAGCGAATATATACGGTGGGACGAAACGGTTAGCCGCTTTAACTAGTCTCTACCCGAATCTCGTCACCAAAGAGAATGTACTCTCTGAAACAGAGCTAGAGCCTTTCAAGAACCACTCATCTCAGGTGAAATGCAAAAGGCAGAGTAAACTACTTTTTCGGTTTATATTAACTAACTTTCCCGCGTGATTGATTTTTTGGTTATTTCCGGTTATGTAGCTAGCGGTTCTTGATTTCATCGCCTGCGCTGCATCCGACGCCTTTGCGATGACGGATTCAGGGAGTCAATTGTCGTCACTGGTCTCCGGTTACCGAATTTATTACGGAGCGGGGAAAATGCCGACGATCAGACCGAACAAACGGAGATTCTCGGACATATTGTTGAAGAACAATACGATAGAGTGGAAAGTGTTCGAGCAGAGAGTGAGAAAAAACGTTAGGCAAACCAAACATGTATTGGTTAGACCAACGGGACGCAGCGTTTACCGTTACCCGAGATGTAAAGAATGTATGTGTAATGAAGATTGATATTCTTTGTTCTACATTGCGGTTTGGTTCGGTTCAGTTTTTTTGAAACGGTTTAGCTGATTATCATAATTTGTACGGAATTTGTAGCGGCTACACATTCGAGTTTACATGTGTTACTAGTATTTTGGTTCGGGGCTATTTCGTTACTGGAAGTAGAAATATCAAAAACTTAATAAAAATAAATAAATCGAACCAAAAGAAAACTGAATTTCAAATGGTTGGTTTTAATCTATAAAACCCAAAACAACTAGGTACGTTGATGCAAAGCATGTAAAATCAGGTATAAAACGATGTGCATAGTGATTATGAATAATTTAAAACCACAATTTTACTATTTTTCGTATACATTCAAGCAAATGTATCTTTAAACATGCATAAGTATACAATTATTCTTCCACAATAAAGTTTGCTAGAAGATTAGTTGGATAACTACCATTCCATTCTACCAAACATCTTACTAATAGCTAATGAGATCGTTTAAACTTCAAAAAGACTAGTAGGTAACAACGATTTTTCATTCTTGATGTTATATAAACTAAGTACACAACTCCAATATTGCAATAACAAATCTCAAAATCAAAATGCCTCACCCTCCTCCTCATCGTCCTCCTCCTCCTATCCACCACCCTCCGCCTCCAAGACCACCGCCCCCAGAGCCGCACCCTCCTCCTCCTCCTCCTATACATCCTCCGGGACCTCACCCACCACCTCCACCTCCCGGAGCTACCTGGTTTCCAAGACCATTTGGGCCGCCCCCACCTGGACCACCATATTAATTGTCATAACTGCTTCGTCTAATAAAGTATATGTGTGATCGTATACCTTATGTTATCGGTTCTTTGTTTGTGACATAGCTATGTGATAATAATGATGAGAGTTTAGAATTGTACGCTTGTGCTTTATTTGGATATGTATGTGTAATGTTATATTGAGGATATAAGTGATATTATTGTTCACAATCTTTGTGGCTGACTTTATCTGCATGTGAAGTTGTGAACAATGAAATTTATATAACTCGACATACAATATTATATTTGTTTTAAAACTTCTGAACTTCGAAGTAATGTGTTGAACCATTTGTTGCAAAAGAACAAGATGTGAAATCAAATCCAAAAGAAAACAGATATAATTATTACTTTTGAGAACCACTGAAATAGAAAGAGAAGGACTGTGTTTTTCAAACTGATATGGTCTTAACCGACAACGGTATTCTTACAATATGGTTTAGGCTTCCAGTAAGAACGATTTCACCAAATGTAAATTGGTTTAGGGCTTCCGTGACATTAAACTCGATGTCTACATCTTGGATATTCTGTGCCCGTATTGTAAACCAAGATGGGATCAATCGTACGGATGTACCATTGGGAGCTAAAACCGAACCAAGATATGTCTCAGTCTTGTTGGCGACGTTTTGAAAACTTCATCTCACCACTAGTGACCCTTTAAGTGCAGTTATAGTCACTGATGGATGGTTAAGCTTTGTTGGGTGGCTAAGCACAGTGGTGCACCTTTCAAACGAAAGAAACTATAAATTTTATTCTTCTTTTTATTCAAAGAATGTTTTTGTCTAAATATTTGCTTTTAGATTCATTTGAGAGATTTATTTGTTTCCCTGATTCTTGAAATAGTATTGTTTATGAGATTCGGGTAGTTCTAGTTCCAAAGACTGAGTGAGTCAGTCATCCCAAGGATTGAGAGAGTCAATCAAACTTCCATCTCCATTGCTACATTCATCCACTTCCGCCCCAAGCTAGTTGATCAGTTTTGATCTCCATTTGTTCTAAGATTGTGGAGTGATTCCCAATCTTGTGTCATAAAAAATCTTGCCAGTGACACTGACCACTTGAACTGAAGCTCTAAAGAATAATTTGACTCAAGCCGTAAGATAACAAGGAGCTAAATGAGAAATTATATAAGTTGCTTTCTGTACAAGCAAAGGAGGTTCATTATGTGGGAGAGCTTTCTCAACCACAAGAAGGGGAAGAAATGCAATATGAAGATGCAAACTACATTGCTGGTCAAGAAGGCTATAACAAAAACTACAGGCCATACAACAACAACCTATCTAATAGAAATCTAAATGTGGCTAACCTTCAAGATCAATCTTATCCTTAAGCTCAAGTCGGTGCAAGCAAGCCATTCAACAACTACAACAATGCACAAGGCTTTGCTCCAAAGAACCCCTTTCAAGACAACTTTCAGCGTAGACAAGGCTATGCACCTCCAAGCTTTGTCCCTTAAGCTCAAGGAAACCCCTCCCCTCACAAGCTGCTGGTTTTGACTTGGAAGGCAGGCTAAAGCAACTACTCTAAGGTCAAACACATATGTAAACTGATATGCATAAACGGTTTGCCGAGGTCCATAACAAGATAGACGACCTCAACACCGAGCTCTCTGGGAAGATAGATGTCTTAAAATCAATAGTGAAGACACTTGAAAACAACAAAGGCATAACATCTACTTCTCACCAGCTGAGCAATCTCCCGAGCAAATCCGTTCAAAATCCAAAGGAATTTTGCCATCACTATCATTGAAGATGACCCTCAAGATGCTACTGAACAAGCCCCCATTATGGCTTCCCCAATCCAAGTGAGGCGGGGGGGGGGGGGGGGGGGGGGGGGGGGGGGGGGCTAAACTTAAAGAAGTTGCGGTTCAAGAGAAAGAGGTCCAAGAAGAGAGGAAGCCATCACCGTTTCTCCATGTATACAAACCCTATCTTCCTTTCCCACAAAGACAGAAGAAGAGGCACATCAAAGAAGGTGAAGCCGCTATATGCATAGGCGTGGATGCACCAGGGTCTATGATGTTATGTCTTGATCTATGAATGTCTTCGAATGTGATTGTATGTGTGTATTAGCTTAGGATTTTCGTCCGGAATGGTTATACATGTGTGAGATGTATATCGTGAGTCTCTAGGACTTGCACTCACTAAGTATTGTTAGAATATTCATCCCTCTTTTTTTGCAGGTGAGCGAGTGCGTATACATTTAGGAGTGGTCATTCGGTTTAGTGTTAGTTTTGAGAAAACACATATTTTATTTTATTGTTCATTATTTATTTTAAAAATGTTATTTAAATTTGGATTTAATGTTTTAAGTTGAAATGGTTGTTTTAAAATATTTTGGATATAATTTTTAGGAATAAAATAGTATTGAATTAGCAAATCGTTTAGTGTTGTGAAATTTAATGTATTTGTTTGCGACGGGTGTCACAAATTTGTTTTTGTCGACTAATTAATTGACTATGATCAGTCTTTCGTCATCTACTCATATATCTCTAAAATTTTCATCCTTCAAATAAAATCAAAGAAACAAAATTATTGTTTCAACCGGATAATGATCGCACATACACAAAAGAAAAACGAAAACAAGAAAAAAAAAAACTGCAAGCATGGAATTGTTTCAAACATGCATTATTCGGAACAAATGAAGAGAGATATATAAATAAAAAGGATGCCTCTTTAAAACATTTCGAACGTGAAGCGGAGTTCGTGTCGGACCGGTGTCACTTTGGTAGCCGCACGTAAGGCAGGGTGTAGTGTTGTCATTCCAACCAGGTAATATTGCTCATGTTCTTGTTCATCCATATCCACCTGCATACCAATATAAGTGGATCCAGGGAGAAGACCGCCTTCCTTAACCAACTTGTATACACGATTCTCCTCAGTTTCCTTAATAATAAAATATCCTTCGTGAGGTTTCACACGGCCGGATAAACGAATTTTAACTGAATGCAATTTCCAATAATCTTTCGAATCGTCAAACTTCAAGTCACATTCGGAGTTTGTGGTTACATTTCCATGCTTGCTCGAACGCAAGATTAGAAGACGGTCTCTTGGTCGTGCTTCCAATGTCAAGCCTACGAAAGGGTAGTCCAGTCTGTCAACGTAATAATGTTCTCCCTTCCAAAAGGCTCTCATAACACACCCATGCTCCATGCGAATCGGATTGCCCGTATTATAATCCAACACTTGCTTTTTGGAGTGCACAGCTTCTATAGTTGTAACCAACGCTAACAAGAAAGAGATCACCGAGATGATGATAATTGTTGTTTTCATGTCTTTCTGTCTTTTATCTTTTTTTTTTTGTCTTTTTCTTGCTTTGTGTTTGTATTTTGTGTATAACGTTTTGAGATGTTGATACCAAACGTTGGGAGTGGGGTTTAAATTATACAGAACGTGAAATGGAAAAAGAAGGAAAAAAAAAGGTTATCACTCTTTAATTTCTTAATGTATCTTTGAAATCCACGATTTGATATGATTTTGTTTCGCAACGTGCTCCATATACTCCTTTCACAATGTACTCGACAGCTCTACTAAATTCTATGAGTAATGATGATTTTGTAGCATCCAATTTTGTTATTATATCACTCTTTAATTTCTTAGGAAGGTTAGTGGGAGACTGATTTATTAAGATTTTAAGAATTCTAACATTCCATTGTTATTGGTGTAAGGATTATTAAACTCCTAATAAAATCATATGTTATTGGCATGATGATTTAAGAATTCTTTTAAAATCCTATGTTATTGGTGTGAAAATTTTGTAATTATTTTTATTCAAAAAGTATAGTATTTAATAATTTTATAATTCTGTTAAATTTTAGTGTTATTGGCACAATGATTCATTATATTTTAACTCATCATTCACAATTTTCAAAATACTATAACCAGCCATTGTATTCTTAAAGTTTAGATAGCAAAATTAAAAAATTATCTTTTTATTAAAACTTTCACAATCAATTACGAAATCAGTTTTGTAACACAAGTAAAATATTGAACCCAGTTTTTGAACAAACGATCAACATAAAATATTGAACTCAGTTTTATAAAAGAGAACAAACAAATTATATCCTTCAAAAACTACCATATAAAATTTTAGAAAGACATGTTCTTCTTCTTCAATGATGCTCTCCATGATAAGATACTTACAAGAAGTTAAAAATTACACGAAAATTAGAAATGGAAAAAACACAACTGATGAACTTCTTTATAAACAAATAAATATTTCTATATCTGAATATATAGTATATATAAAATTCCTAGAAAAACATTATCATATAATTACTTTACCAAAAAATGGAAAACTAAAATTAATATGAATCCACAAAAATCTACATAAATCTTGATAAAACTTTGTATGTATTCTATATATAGTGATGAACATAACTCTTACATTCCATACAAATCTTTGAAAATTTTTACAATCTCTTTACTTCTGAAATCCACAAATATTCTTAAAATCTTGATAAATCTGTCTCCCACTGAGATTCTTGTAAATAGCATTAATGACTCTGAGATTCATTAAAGAAATCAACGAAATGGTTCCGACACATTACAAGTTCGAAGTTCAGAAGTTGTAAAAAGGGACATGTTATTCAAACTGGTATGGTCTTAACCGACAACGGTAATCTTACAATATGGTTTAAGCTTCCAGTGAGAACGATTTCACCAAATGTAAATTGGTTTAGGGCTTCCGTGACATTAAACTCGATGTCTATGTTTTGGATATTCTGTGCCCGTATAGTAAACCAAGATGGGATCAATCGTACGGATGTACCATTGGGAGCTAAAACCGAACCAAGATATGTCTCGGTCTTGTTGGCGACGTTTTGAAAACTTCTTCTCACCACTAGTGACCCTTTAAGTGCAGTTATAGTCACTGATGGATGGTTAAGATTTGCCGGATGGCTAAGCACGGTGGTGCACCCGACTCCGGTGGCGGCTCGAATCCTAATCCGGTCAATGTTTGGCAGTGAACACAAGAAACTGATGTAGTCTTGAAAGCCTGGTCCAGTTACCAAAAAATGGTAATATGAAAAGTACACCCCAAGTTTCTTTTTATTACATTAAAATCACAAAATTTTTAATTTATCAATTCTCTCCCATGATAAAGTAAACGTTACCTGTGGGTAAAACCAACCCGGGGTTTATGGCTCTAGCAGGATTAACATGGCCAGCACCATGATCGAAATGATTAGACGGAAACAATGTGCCAATATCATAAGACTCCACTGATATTTTTTCACCGGAACTAGCATATTTGTTGGCCGTGGTGGAAATGGCCGAGGCAATCATAGCCGGTGTCCAAGAAGGATTTAGTTGTTTTATCAGCGCACCGATTCCTGCTATATGAGGAGTTGCCATGCTCGTACCTGATAAAATTGCAAAGTTTTGTCCTACTCACAAAAAGAAAATTCATTTTAAAATCTTGGGAGTGTATTTTAAAAATACAAAAATATGAGAGGTTTAAAAGTAAAAACCTGTGAAAATGGGATCAAAGACACTAGGACGGCTCCAGGCTCCCCATATTTGGTGACCAGGTGCAAGAATATCTGGCTTAAGCACATCTAAAAGATCCCCATTTGTATGGAGAAAAGCAGGCCCTCTCGAGGAGAATCTGCTCACCACCGGTGCTTCTCCGGCTAAGATCGAGTTTCGGCCATCGCTGATTCTGGCTCGTGCCCCAAATTGCGTCACCAATCCTTTCTCGTCTCTGTAAGTTTTCTCTTGGTAGTACCTCAAGATCATCTAGAATAGTAAAGTATCATTCTTATATGTTGACAAACATTGCTACAGAATAGTTATGATTGGTTATGTGACAGTATTATGCACTGTGCAGTATGTAGTCATTCTGCTACGCTAAAATATTAAAAAGTATAACATATAATGATTTTTTTAAAGCATTATAATTTCTTGTAATTAATGATGGACTTAAATTACCTGGGAATCTAATACTTTCGGGATTAAAATGCCGGGAGACGAAAATATAACCGGTTCTGCAACATAGTCGCCAAATCTAGGGTTTGCAATGAGTATGAAACCCATGAACCCAAGAGACTTTGCGGTATGGATGATGGCTCGGACGGTAGATATCCGATTGTAGAAACCGTCAGAGAACGTACAGATCACAATACTTCCAAAAACCTTTGCCGGATCGAAATACTCCGGTCGTTGACATTCTTCGATGTCTATGATTGAGGTTTGTAGAACCGATCCGTTTGTTCTTACTGCGTCTGTGGCTAAGACTAGCCTGTGTTGAAGGAAGGGAGCTCCAAGAGTTGGACCTTTAATTTCAAAACCAAGAAATATATAGCTCATTTTTTTTTCATGAATATTATAACCCATTTAAACATACGATCGAAATTGTTACGAGTTTGTAAAAACACGGGCTAAAAATTGAAAAAAATTAGGTGATGAATACATTATTACCTACTGAAGTATACCAAAACAAAAACAAAAATTTCTACGTACTTGCCATGTTGAAATTAGGTTGACTTTTTTCTTGGCACTTAGCTCATGACCATAATAATGTTTTAAGAAATCTTGCAAAGTTTGGCATTTAACGATCAAATTTAACACCATAGTATTAGATTTTGTATAAACGAAAAATATATGCAAACAGATAATTTTAAAAAATAAAATACGTGTCAACAGATAGTAGTTTTGATCAAAGCTGGTTCGTTTTTAGTGTTTACTAGCGTTGCAACTTTACTATAGCATGCAGATGTAATTCAATCAGAAAAACCAATTAGTTTTTTCGAATAAATTTTCTAGGATTTTTCTATTGAATTCATAGATATAAAATGTTAATATGAAATTCACCTGAAAGTCCGACGCCCTGAACGGTCTGGCCACCGTCGAGGATGAGAGAAGCAGGATAAGACCGGTCCGTATTCCCGGCGGCGACGCCAAGTACCCACGGACTATAAGACAGCACGGAAGACGGTGATGGGCCATGATTCCCTACTGCTTGCACCACAAAGACTCCTGCTTTTCTAGCCAATAGCATTGCGAGGTCAAATATCCCGAGCACCGTCGGTTTACCCACCGGTGGTTCGTCCGGTCCCACCGACAGTGTCAGCACATCTACGCCGTCCATTATTGCCTGTCACGATATCAAGTTTAAGAAGATTGTTTGATCAATGACTCTGCATGAAACTGCTTTGTGTTTCTTTATTTTTGTACTTACTTGGTCGATGGCAGCAATTACGTCGACAAGAGTTCCGATTGATGGGTAAATCGCCTTGTAAACGGCTATTCTGCCCGTGGACCAATTAAATAACTCGTAAATAATTCAAAGAAAAAAGAATTAGAGATATGGTTTTGTGACGTACCGTGCACGTGGGGCCATACCACTGGCTCGGCCGTAGGAGAACCCGTCTACGATCACCGGAACTCCTGCGTTTCCGGCTGCGATCGACGCCACGTGGCTGACCAAAACCGACCAAATTGAATCTTACAATGTACAATATTTTCTTAACATGCATAATGTATAACTATATTGATAACTATATTTACCAGCAACAAATAAAGACCAAAACCAAAGTCATACATTTTTAATTATACCAAAAAATGATATAATTATAATTTACGGATACATTTTTGTTAAGTTGAGAGGTTTGAACCAGATTCTTTCACTTAAATTCGAAATTCTCAACCAGTAAAGTGAAGGTCAGGAAATACCACAAAAAAAAAGGTATAGTTTACTAAAAAAATAGACAGTATATATACTGTATATTTTTAGTTTACCAAAACTGAAGATATATTTATAATTGACCAAAAAATAAAAATAAATATTTGACTATAAAGTAAATGGGTGGTGATAGTGTATTTAAAAATAGCGTATTAATTGCATGTTGTTGGATGAAAAAATAACCATGTTTTTAGTTTTTACCTTCCGTGACCGGACGCATCGAACGGAGAGAGTATATCCAAGGAGCTGTTGAGAGCGACGGAAGCTCGAGCTCCGGCGGAAAAGAACCTTGCGGAGATGATTTTTCCGTTACAAGATCCTGCGGGGAAGAGAGGACCGGTCTCACAGTCGCCGGAGAAATTCAAACGTGAGAGATTTGTTGAGAAAGGGTTGGTGGGATTGAATGCGGAGAAGCTCGGATGAGTAGGGTTGATTCCGGTGTCCACGAAACCGATTACGATATCTTCTCCGGCACGTCTGTCGCCGTCGCTGGAGATCTTTGGCCAGACATCTCGAGGGAGTTCCAAGAAATCAGGAGTGTAAGTTGTCATTAGTTTCACTCCTTTGTCTTCTTCCACTGCCTTCACTCCTTTTGCTTTCATCAGTTTCTTGGCCTGCAAGTGTCAAAGAGGATCGTTTCCGGTTTACCAAAGCCAGATTTGACTAACGAATTGAAATCGAACCGGACAATGGTAAAACCAAACCGGAAAAGGTAGAGTTATGTATTTTTGGGTAATAGGAGAAAACCTGAGACGGAGTAGTACGGACAGCGAAAGCATTGATGATATGTTTGAAGCTATAAAGCTTTGTATAACTTCCATTTCCAAGTGTGCTTCCAAGAATTTTGTTGTGAATCTCTTCTATCTTCTTTGCTTCAAGTCCCACAATTTTTCTGAGTTTCCGACATCAAATGTAGTTATATAATATATATATATATTTCAACATATCAATTAAGTATGGCTAAAAAATTATCATATACTTCCTTTGTTTTTGTTTGTATGATGTTTTAAAAGATTGTTTTTGTTCAAAATTAGATGATGTTTTTAAAAAATAATTGTTTTAATTATTTAAATTTTGTATATAATATTTTTATTAGTTGAATTGTTTTGGAAATGATATTTTATTTTGAAAAAAAATGAAAATTAAATAACTTCTTAATATATGTGCAAAACCTTAAACATTTTATATAAAAAAACGAAAGGAGTATAATTAAGTTATCATATAAAATCTTGCAAACAAAGGAAGAAACATCAAACAAAAAACGTGTTTTATAAAGATCTTTTAAGTTAAAAGATAGATTTAGCTAGCCATCAATACATTTATAAAACGTAAACATGCAAGATGACAAAATCAGCACTATATATGTATTTGAGAAAACCAAGTAGATTCAAAAATTGCAATATAGTAGCTTATTTAATTTCCTGAAGAAAAATAATCAATTTTGATCTGTACCTGTTGATGTTAGCACGATCACGAAAAGCCAACGATTCACCTTCAACCAAAACGGAGTAAATCCTTGGCATATTATCATCAGCAACATCGCTAATTACGACTTTTTCTTCTGCTCTGGATAATAATGCACAAAGAATCAACACAGATATACATATTAGCAGCCATATGAAACAATAAACTCTTAGTTTTCTTGGATTAGCTTCCATTAAATCTTTGTTTGGATTCTCCATTTGCTTAAGAGTTAAGATGTGTTTATTATAGATTATCGAGGGTAATGAAAGTCATGTTTTAGGACAATGCACATTACCAACGTGAACACTTTATATTACAGGTTATATATATGCGTTATATAACTTTTCTCATTATTAATTTCTATTTGTTAAGGTGTGAGAATCTTGCTTATAAGGAAGTTTTTTTTGGTCTGACCAAAACCAACAATAAAAGGAAAGGCTTATTTTAGGGAGAAAAAAACTATTTCTATAAGAGTCATTAATTCTCGTTTTCTTACTCCTTAATACACAGGTACATGAATTAGCTTGTACATAATTTCGTATACCACGTGGCATGTCGTGATTCATCAAATGTTACCATTTTTCGACAATATATTGAATGGGCTTCGGATAATATGGGCCTACATACAATATGGGCCGTAGGCTAATATGGGATGTGGGCTTGTATTTTAATTCTCTTAACCCAAATCTATCTACTTCGGATATATCGAACAGAACCAAGAAAGCTTAAAACTCTTCAGAAGATTCGTAAATGTTGAGAGCTTCAAATTTTCTGCGTAGAGTCTCAGCTAAAAACCCTAAACCTTTAATACCTCAAAGCTTCCATCTTCATCTTCACCAGGGAAACAGAGGAATTAGTGATTCGAGTCGTACGTACCAATCGGGACCTGCTTCGAGCCCTAGCTTATCGATATGGAGACGGAAGAAAGAAATGAGCAAAGAAGGTTTAATCGCCGCGAAGGAGCTCAAGCGTCTCCAAACCAAATCGGTTCGGCTCGATCGATACATTTCTACTCATGTATCTCGTCTCCTTAAATCCGATCTAGTTTCTGTTCTTGCCGAATTTCAGAGACAAGACCAAGTTTTCCTCTGTATGAAGGTAAGAAACTCTTCAAAGTAGTCAATTTCAATTGCATTTTTTATAAATTGAATTTGATTTTGTGTTTCATCATTAGTATCAATTGAAATTTGAAAAATTTCCCTCTAATATTTGTTTCAGTTTCAAAAGTACCAATTGAAAATGGAAATTTTCCTTCAATTATTGGTTAAAGGTTAAATTTTTATAAACGAAGCTTTACAAAGCAGAAGGGAATTAATAGTTTGTTTATGGAGTTTATTGTTGATGGTGTTTGATGTTTGATGTTTAATTTGGTTTAAATGTTTTTTTCTTTCAGCTCTATGAAATTATGAGAAGAGAAATTTTAAATTTGATTTTGTGTTTTCAATTGAAAAATGGAAACTTTCCCTCAATTATTGGATCGGTATGTTTTTGGTTAAATGTTAAATCTTATTAATGAAGTTTGTTGATGGTGTTTGAGTTTGATGTTTTGTCACATTTCTTTGATGTTTGATTGATTTGGTTTAAATGATTTTTTCTTTTCAGCTCTATGAAATTGTGAGAAGAGAAATATGGTATAGACCGGATATGTTTTTTCACAGAGACATGCTTATGATGCTTGCAAGAAACAGGAAAGTGGATGAAACCAAGAAAGTATGGGAAGATTTAAAGAGAGAAGGAGTTTTGTTTGACCAACATACATTCGGAGACCTTGTTCGAGTGTTCTTGGATAATGAGCTTCCGGTGGAAGCAATGAGAGTTTATGAAGAGATGAGAGATTCTCCTGATCCGCCTCTGTCTTTGCCCTTTCGGGTTATTCTGAAAGGACTCGTTGGTTATCCTGAGTTGAGAGAGAAGGTGAAAGAGGATTTCTTGGAGCTTTTCCCTGGAATGGTTGTGTATGATCCTCCTGAGGATTTGTGTTTTGAAAGCGAAGATGAAGAAGCAAGAACAGACAGCGATCTTGAATAGAGAGAGGTATCTTCTTCTTTTTTTCAGATTTTGCTTTATGAGGCTGACCCGATTTGTCTTCTTAATTGTCCATATTGTGTCTTGTTTGTTCCTGGCAGTTGCATTGCTTTGTCACAAAGTAGTCTTTGAATCTTTGTTCTTAATCTGGAAATGCCAAACCTTGAAAAAGTTATTTGTCTTGTGTTGTTTAAAATTTTCAATTGATATCAAAATAGTTCACTAACTTATCAAGATTGTGATCCAGTTTAAGGTTAGATCATGTGGAGAAGATAGAAACACAAAGGAGGAAGGTTATGGCTGTGCAAGACCAAGACTCTCTTCGGATGGGACAAAACAAATTATGGCTGTTGAAAACTAGAGATGATGGGAGCAAACTGAAGAAAGGGATTGAGAAGCTCATAAAGTGTATTTCTTCTACAGGTCTAAGAATCATTGGTTGATTCAGAAGTTATTGCCAAAATCAATACTCAATTATGTTGTCTTGAAACAGTGATACATATGTTTGTGAAGAAAAAAAAGTGAAATAAAACTTTCAGAATTGGGTAAGTTTCACTCTCAATGTGCTGACCCAAAATGGTGTCAGGTCTTGATTTTTGGATATGTTACTCTCATTTTAAACAGAGAACAGTGATGACAGGTCTTGATTTTTGGGACAGTGATGGGTCGGGTTTGGGCCGGACCAGGTCTTTTGGGAATAGAAATATGTGTTCCCATTCTGTTAAGCAGATTCCGAACAGAACAAGAACCTCAAAGTTTTCATCATGTTTGAGATAACGCCAATGCAATGCATTTATAACGTACGAAATTGAATTTTTAAAATATTATATTTTTTTTTAAAAATTTTCTTAAAATATTTCCTCCGTTTTTTCACTAATTGTCGTTTTAGGTTGTTTTACATAAATTAAAAAACCAATTAGTTTTTTGGTTTAACCTCTAATTGATATACCATTTTGTTTGACATGACTAATTAATAAATTAAAAAAATACGAATAAAACAGAAAAATATATCATAAGCATAAAACGACAACTAATTTGAAAAGAAATTAAGTTTAGAATGACAATTAAAAAAAACAAAGGGAGTGCTAGTTAATGAACAGTATTAAAAAGAAAAACATTACAGTATTTTATAATAGAATATATAAAGACAAAAAATAGAATATATCATCAAAAGGAATGGGAATGATACAGAACAAGACTTTCATTTTCAAAAAAAAAATTTGGCCCTGTTCCAATTTTAGCACCATCCATCACTTTCCGACTTCTCAAATATAATATAAATTCTTAGTTTTTTGTGATTCATAAGACTACTACATCGCCTATGAAAATCAAACATCTTTATATACTAAATTGTATAATTTTTACTTTGTTTTTAACAGCACAATACTGTATTGTATATAATTCAAGGTAGAGAGAGAACATTAGACAGTAGAGACCTGGTTAAAAACATGATTCATTCTATTAACTCAAAATTATGTAAAAACTACTAACCTTAAACATAGTTCCAAAACCGAATTGCCTCCAAACGGATACGAAATCCAAGTAAAAAATAATTCAAAATGAAAAGATCAAACAAGTTTAACGAAAAAAAAAGAATAGATCAAAGCTTCATCAATATAATTCTCGGGTTAAGAAATTGAGATTGTCACATAACCACACAGAACAAAACAAAAGGTTACACAACACAAACCACAGATAATTAGGGAAAACATCAAACGCGTGTTCATCAATCGGAACATTTAACGTTCTTAGGTATACCGAGAAAACCATAGATTATACATATTATAAGCTTTTTAAGGATTATAAATATAATTTTGAAATAAAGTTTCAAAGGGTCGATCAAAGCATGTTGGAGGAGATGTGATCAATGGGGAAAGGATTGCCCAAGACATTGTCCATGAAGTAATGGTGAGGATGTGTTGCGTCCATTACCACAAACTGCATATCCTCTGATGGCTTCCAATGCCTTTTCCTCTGGTTTATGAACCAATTGTTTATCTGTTTCTGGTCAAGCCCTGTTGATTCCGCAAGCGCCAGCTTCTGTTGCTCCTGCCATTTCATATCATAACCGAAAAATTCGTGTCAATCATTAACTTTTCTTATAAAATGGCGTAAATCAAAGATTTGCTACGCTGAACCTATAATTTCGAACCGTTCAATAGCATAAGAACTTAGGTAATGTCACTATATAGGGTTCACTCATTCGAACATATATTACAGACAAGGGTTGATCATATCTATGTCTTAACTAGATTAGCGTGATATTCGGACGGTAACAACATTGTGGAAGCAGAATCAAGGACAGACAACATGAGAATAAAAAAACAAAGACAACATTACGTTGACCATTTTTATAACATTCTTACCCAAAAAAAAAATTACGTTGACCAAATAATTCAATATATATATCTTAATTATGCTTTCTAGTTATCCAAATGCAATCCAAGAATCAAGGAAAACATGAGATAATAGAACAAAAACAACATACATTGACCTAAAACGTCAAATTCATTCATCTTAGTTAGGATTTCTCAATCATCTAAATGCATTTTTAAAACAGAAAATTGACATGTTTGTGAGCGAGAGTATAAGAGCAGAAGTTACCGAAGGGTAAGGCCATTTGTAGTGTCGGCTCCACCAATCAAGAAGTTGTTGACGAGCTTCTTTAGGGAGCTTTCCTTTCTTCCTCTTCTTCATGAACTCTTGCTTGAGACTGCCTAAGTAACCGCTGTACTTGCGCAAGAGCTGTCCTTTAAGCTCCCTATCCTCAGCCTGCGGATCTATAAATTCATTGTTCATATCGACTTCTTCCTCAGATGACCCATTGTTGTTCCTATCAATAGCTGTCTCTCCATAGCCTACTTTGATACATAATGTCAAAACAAGACAAAGTTATCACCAAAACCCGCTAAATGGGTTTATTAAGGTAGACAAAGATCTATGATAGAATATAGCAATGAAAATGAATTAAGCTAGTGATCTGAATCAATCAAAGAAACAAGTTGAGAAAGTAGATGTGAGTAGGTGTATCTATACAAACATTATTACACTCGTGAAGATAAGAGAAGAGTGATATGACGTAATGTAGATATATGTATATGAAATTATACGTACAAAAACATGTGTATGTCTAATTTGAGCAATAGATCTAAGGACGAACAGACTCTAGATCCAGATATTCTTTTTGATGCAATAAATTTAATAGATCCAAACAAACGGAGAAGAAAGAGACAAGAACAGTGACTGTTGTTGTACCAAGCTAAATAAATTCAATTCGGAAAAAGAAACTTCCGATATTGTTTTTTAAATCTGTCATCCAATAAAACATCTACATACATATACTTATGTATAGATAGATTATACACGTAAACCTAGTAAGCTATATATAACAATCTGACACTAACCCTAGCAACAAGCATCAAAGGGGCATTAAACCAAGAAAAAGAAGAAATCTTTCTTAAAAACCACAAAGGAAAAAAACAACACTTTTATCATCTTACGTTTAATTTGACGCCATAATTAAGAAGAAAATCATTTTTTTTAAAACACAGAGAGAGAGAGAGAGTAGAGTTACCGGAGAAAGAGGAAGGGGAGGAGAGAGAAAGGGATTTGAATTGGCACTCGACGCGTTGAAGGAAGACCATAGCTTCCTTGAAGGGTTTAGAGAGCTCTTGCTCGTACTTAACAAGCATTTCACAGTAAGCTTCCATGAATTGATCAAGCCCTGGATCTTCACCTAAACACCCTGTGGGTCCCATCGACGCTGCAGCCGCCGCCGCAGACGAGCAAGCCTCCTCCAGCCTCGCCGCCACTTCCGCTGGTGCTCCCACCTTTATAATTTTGTAATTAATTAATAGACATAAATAGCATCGGCTAAAACAAAAGAAGTTTCCTGTGGATATATCATAAATGAGTAGAGTGGACAAGGAAAGAAGAACATTTATGTGCGAATCTTTAAACCCACAAACGATATTTTCGATAGTTCCTTGAAGATAGGTTTCTTGAAATCAGCTGCTTTTTTGTTCCAAGTTTCTTGAAACTTTCTCAAATAAGGAAAAATAGTTTCTTTTGATTTTCAGGTACTTTGTTGGATTAAGTAAGTAATAAACAAAAGGGGACATCAAAATCAAACTAAGACATCAAAGTAATTAAAGGGTGTAAAAGGTAAAGAAAGGGTAAAGTTTAGTAATTAGGGTTTCTAGAATGATCTTCTTCTTTAAGTAAAAAATCAAACAAGGACCATCGAAATAAGAATGGATTTTCGAAGTAGTATTCATTAAAAGGATTTTCTGTAATCATCACCTTCTGGCAATTGACATAAGCGATCAAGAGGCGGTGATAGTGAGGATGAGCCATGATTTTGGCCTTGACAGAGGCTGAAGAAGAGGAAGATGAACAAGGATTGAGTCCTCCTACGACGAGGTTGTTTTGATGGATCTCCATGAGAGGATAAGCAGGAGCACGAGAAGAAGGAGAAGAAGAAGAGGCAACTTTGTTCTTAATTTCTTGAGAAGGAGGAGAAGCTAGTGACTGAAGAAAAAGGGAACTACTTTGTTGGTGGTGTGACTGATATGCATAACCATCTTGTTGTTGTTGTTGATGTTGATGATCATGACCATGATGTTGTTGTTGTTGATGTTGATGTGATGTCATGATGGGCATCATCATCATCATCATAGGACACATCGGACCATCACTATTATCCCCGGCAAAAGCCATTGGACAAGAAGTGCTGTTGGAACCACTCTCCATTTCTCTCTCTCACTAGTATTATTATTCACTTTGGCTTTGCTATATAGCTATGAAAAAGAGAGAAAGAAAATAACAATAACAAAAAGAAACAAAATAATAAAAATAAAAAGATAAAGAAGAAGAAGAGCATTGTAAATACAGCTAGCATTTATCATCAATATCATGAAACACAATAAAGTACTATAAATTTAGTGGGAAACCCTAAAAGAGTAATTATTTATGTGTGTATATGTGTATATATATGCAAGGTTTAATTTAATTATTTGAAATGCAAAAGTGGTCTCCCGGGATTTATGCTTCAACAATCAGCTTCCTTTTTCACATTGAAAAAATTCTAAATAGTGATAGTTATGGGGGAGAGGGAAGCAGCAGACGAGAGACCAGAAAGATAAATCTAAGGATTTTCTTTTCTTATAAAATAATTGGAGAAATTTGTTTTTAAAAAGAGGAAAAAGCAGACATAGACAGAGATTGTGTGATCTGTGGGTTCTTAACTCTTTTGTGTTCATCTGTTGATATATGATTTCACATTTATGTCTTTTTAGAAATTAATTTATAATTTTCCCCCTCATCTTTTTGCGGTAATAAATAATAAACCGGATCGACATTTAATAGCGACAATTGCTTGAAATGGAGAAAACCGGAATGTTCTTAAGAAAGTCCAGGCGCAACAAGAAACATTTGGTTAAATTCATTAACCATTGATTTCCAAAAGTCTTGGTTTATGATGTCATATCGAAGTATAATGTATACATAGATATACATTCGTGTATATATATTTACAATGTGTCTATGTATCTATCTATACATATGTATATCATGTGAGGATATTAGTACTGTTGTACTAATAAACTTTCTTAGATTCTCAATAATTAACTAACAGATCTCCATAATTTAAGTACGTCCTTGAGAAACCTAAGATATTGGATTCTCTTTTTCAATAGGAGAGAATAGCACTCTGTTTAATATTTCATTTTATTAATGATTGATTTCTCTGTAGTTTAAACTGAAGAAGCCATCAAATATTTTTTGTTAAAAATAGAATTGTATAAAACATAATAGTAAATACTAAAACCTAGTATATATATATATATGTATACACATATGAAATATAACAAGCCATTTTTTCAAAGATGGGGCTTGTAATTTTTGACAGCAATTAACTATATGTTTGTTTCCAACATTATCATGTTCTCAACCTTCTCGTCCACTGATTGTAACACTAGGTGATAGTAGACCTCTTGCCACTGCAAGAATAAGCAATCACATTCACACCACTAAACGAAACTTCCGAGGCAATTTAGAATAATATACAATTCGCACTTAGTATTGACTCTAACATGCGACACTTGTAAAATAGCATACCGACTTTAAAAGAATCCATTTATATTTGACAATGAAATCCATCAACTGCCATGAAAAGTAAAGTCTTAAGTACTTTTAGATTATGGACTAAATGTTGTCAGCAAAGTAGGCGTTGCTAAACGTAACTACCAGACCATAACAAAATGTTGCTTTTGTAGAATTAGCAATAAAAATATGGGGACATATATTCCCTTTTATCAAAAACAAAAACAAAACAATACAAATATTGAATAGTGAATGCAATGCAATTACTGTATGTGGGTATAATGAAAATAAAAATTATATTTTTGTAATTAAATAATCGGAATAATTTTTTTGAATAGTACTAAGAGATGATGAAATTTATTGGGGGAAATGTTTATTTAATTGATCAAATTGAAATTAACAAATTCATTTCTCAATTACTGTACACGTATATTAAACAACTAACTTTGCAAAATCAGACTACAAAAATGTCAACAATAAACAATAAACAGAAATCGTTTAAATTTAATATTTTTCACTGAAATTCTTTACATCCTTTTCTCCAAATTTCTTCAATAGCCAGAATTGAGATTGTAAATTTATTGCAAATAGAACCATAACCTAAACAGAGCGTTATTAGATTGTGGAAACACACAGCAAAAACTAATAAATGATTTGACATATATAGTGACCTAGTGAAAAAATATGGGAAAGGAGAAATATTTTTGAGACATTGGAAGGGTAGAACACATGCATGACAGATAGATTACTGAAAATAAACACGCACATTAGACATAGCCAAGAAGAAATTGACTCGAAGAATATATGTTAGGTAACATTGTTGAATCGATCTTTGCTCCTCATCTCCAGCAAATTACACTATATTTCGAATTTCACATCACACAAGTGAGATAAAAAAAAAAAAAAAAAAAGAGAGAACTCCAAATAATGGTAAGGTTGATTTTATGGAACATTGAGCTGCAAGATTCATTGTTTATGATGCAATCAAAATCCCGGTGGTGTTTAATATACAAGCATTTGTTTAGCCTGCATATATGATTATTGATTACAATCGTCGTGTTTCCAAATCTGGTTTGGGTCCAATCTGATTTCATCGAATTTCTTCCACAGCGAAGGACACGGTTTATTTCGAATTGTTAAATCACAAGAGAAACCAACACCGAAAGAAACTGACTGGAATCTCTCGTTCGCAATTGTTGATTGATCACCAGCATTTGTAACACATGTGCGAATCTCAGTTTAGTTCACCATACTTTTTGTGTGAATTTGAAATAGTACAATACTTTATATATCTTCAATTAAAATTTTATTATTCTTTCAATTTTTTCTCATTTCTCATTTTTCATTTTAAAATAGTCTTAAATGCACAACAAAAAAGAACTGATACTGTCTACTGTCTGCCATTTGATATGTTCACCCGTAATACGGACGAAAACAAAAAAAATTTATTAAAAGTACTGAAATATATGCTGTCCAAAAATTGTGTGTTAAACGCATGGAGGAACACAAAGCAAAGATTTTGCATGGGAGAAACTAGAGCGGAGTTTTCTTTTTAATTAGTGTGAAAAGTGTGTTGCATTGTTATTCCTAACTTTGCATGTTGCATTGTTAAAATTTATGTTTCAAATTATGTGTTAGATTTGTTTGATTAATGAAGTATTTATTTTGCAAGCTAAAAATTAGTGATTAGTGTAAAACTAGCCAATAGGTCGTTAAATCTAGAGCGTCTTCTATATATTTCATGCTTCAATCGTTCCTGCATTCAAAATTATCTAACACTAGGTATTTATATGCACTATGCTCCAAGATATTTTTTCTAAATTTTGTATATATTTTTAATATAATAAAATTATTTTTATAATATAAATAAGTATTATATTTTTTTTTTATTAGCTTAAGCTATATATTTATATGTTTTGAAATAAATGAATATTATATATATATATATATTTTTTTTTTCAAAATTATAATTTGCTATTAAATTTAGTTAGCTAACTAATTATAAATGTATATATAGAAATAAAGTATATAAGAATAAAGCAATACATTTTTAGTACCTTCATGCTAATGGCAAATGTAATCTATTTTCTCCAATAAATTGTCACATGGTCCTCCTTTATAATTATATAAAGCAAAATGCCATTTTAAAAAAAGATTTATTAGTTAATATGATTATTTTGAATTATAAATTTATTTATTTATCAAACATTTTATTATAAACATATGTTTCTAAAAACTACCAAACTATAATCAATAACATTCATATCAAAACCATTGCAATTGCTTTAGAACTAAATAGAAAATTATGTTTGAACTCTTAAAATATCGTTTTAGTTAAAGTTAAATAATTAATTTTTGGTTACTGTAAATATACTTTAACTTAAAAATTTAGCACTGAGAAATTTCTTTTTTTTACAAAAATCGAAAAATCGCATTTTCCATCAAATAAAAAAGCTTTATTTTTCCATTAAACTGAGAAATCGGCTATTCCCGCCAAAACCAAAAAATTTAATTTCTCGTCAAACCTAAAATCTAAACTTACATTTTCTTGCGAGAACTTGTGTTTTTTCACCAAAGCCGAGAAATTACGTTTTTTTCACAAAAACCAAAAAATTTGATCTTCCTGCAAAAATCAAAAAAAAAATTGTATTTTCTACCAAAATCGAAAAATTTATTTTTTCTGCGAAAACTGAGAAATCGTCTATTCCTGCAAAAAAAAAAAATCATTTTCTTGTCAAGCGCAGAATCACGCTTTCCTACAAAAACAAATAAACTACAATTTCCCGCGAAAACTAAAAATTGCATTATCTCCCGTGAAATTGTATTTTCCCGCAAAAACTAAGAAATTTTTATGTTTTTATCGGTTCAATTTTTTGCTGATGTGTGAGCTTCTTATAACATAAGGCTTTTTGCATTGTTGTCATGGAAGCATAGTTGATGTTGAGCCTACATTTTTTCAATCATATACGTCTATGTCAAACAAATAGATAGCTAGAATTTTTTTATTATTTATTTGTTGTTATTTATTATTTGCATTTGGTTTTGGCACAAAAAAAGAAAAAACGATTTAATTTTTTTATTTATTTTTATTTATTATTTGGGTTTGGATTTGGTAAAAAATAAAATAATAATTTTTTATTTGCTATTATTAATAATTTGGGCTTGAGTTTGGTAAAAAATAAAACAAAAATTAATAGAAAAAATATTTAGGGTTTTAGTGGGTTTAAGTTTAAAAATTAAAATAAGTAGATGAGATGTATTAATAAAAATTTTTGATTGGTAAATATTTTTGCTGAAGTGTTATGTTTATAAAACTTAAAAAATTTAAGGTGTCAAGCCATCGAGAGACTTTAGTGTTTTAATGTTATTGTTGTGTTGATTTAGGGGAGTTAAAGAAAATAAAACGATATAAATTCTTTAATGTGCTGTTTTTTTCTTTCTTTCAGAACTATAGGAATTTGGATAACCCACTAGTTTCTTCGTAGATGTGACACCTTATTAAGAAATAATTTAGATAGTAACTAATTTAAAAGGGGGTATATTCCCATACTTTTATGGCTATGTTCATAAGTAATCTATATAAAAAATATATTTTAAAGAGAAGACATAAGAAGAGTATGAAAAAGCTTATTTTTCTTGCTTTTAGGTTA